GAGGATATTGCGTTTTGCCCAGTGGCTACGGCACGCCATGGAGTGGAGTGGTCACTTGGTCGACCTACGGCGTGTGCGTCGGTCAGCAGTCAGCAACTTGGATGAAGCAAAGTGCGTGGGGCAGGAGTGGTTGACACCCACAGTTTCGATGAATAGACCTGCTGAAAGAATCATAGAAGTGGAAAACCACCTGTACTGGTACTATCCCTTTTTTTGGTGAGAGCCAAAAACTGCACTCTCAGGGCCTGCCGTTCTGTTTTTTTGGGGGGGTGGATGTTTTTGTATAGATAATTGGTCCTGAACTGAACCCTTAATACCATCCGCTTCCATGATGATTTCAGGGACCGCTGTTGTTCTTGAATTCAAGAACTCAAGTCCCTACAGGTGGCTTCTGTCTGAGGCAGCCCCCAGACCTCATAGGCTTGCAGATGTGCTCGGATGTGCTCGTACTGTTGGGTGCACTAGGTCTCCTGCTGCACATGGAGTTACACTCCTGCCACCTCACACGTGAAAAACAAGGAGTTGTTTTGCTTTTGGCAGCGGGCAAGAGCCAATTGCCTGCAGCAGTTCATGACATTATAGTGGCTGATTTGGTTGAAACAGGTGTGTAAGAAAGGATAGAGTGACCCGTGACCCCAAGTCAGTTCCTGTCACTTTGTTTGAATTCTTGCTGAACAGCCAAGCTGGACTGGAACATCATGTTCCGCAAGCCTTTTGGAGGATCGATGACAAGATCGTTGAAGCAAATTCCACACTAGTTGAAATGGGGAAAAGCGTGGCATTGGGTTTCTGGGCTCCAGATGGTGCAGGAGATCGTTCTCCATGTTCGATCGGGGGGATGTTCATATCATCCGCCCATCCCCCGGCCCTGATCGTGTGTTCAGCTGTCGAGGTTGGCCTCTCAAGCATGAGCTACAGCAGCAGCCTTGGAGCGTTGGGCATACCACCCTACCGGAGACTTGGACCAAAATCGTGTTGAGACGACGCCAGCCTCGTAAGAGACGACTGTGCATGCGGAGTGTTTCTCTCTCTTTTTGGGGGGTGGAGCGCGCAGCATGACCAAGCGTTAGTTTTAAGTTATCAAATGCCCCAGAGCAGTTTGGTATAGTTTGGTAGGTAAAAGTATATACTCTCAGGATTTCTGAAGAGAGTTCTTGAATAATTCATGTTTTGTTTTGAGGTTGCAGCCTAGGCAATTTTTACGTTCTGGGCGACAGCATGTCTATGCTTCACAACTCAGCGGGAAGCAGAGTTTCAAGGAATTACTCAAACATGTATATCGAATCAGTGTCCAGCCGTTCAGCTTAGAGAATTGTGCGTGCAATCGTGCAGTCCAGCTCTTGGCGTAAATCCTCAAGTTTAGCTTATTGCTTTAGAAGCCAAAAAGCCGGCCGTTGGTGCCAGTGGGCCTTTTGTGTTTCAAACTGAGACGTTGCTAGCTGAAGACGTTGCATGTGCAAAGCAACAAGCCTGAAGCTTTGTTTGACTGATGCGTGGGATGTCAGACACCTTCCTGTGTCCAGGAAAAATGTTGATGGCTATGTGAATGGGGCCACTGTGCTGGGTCAGGAGTGATGCGCAGTGTGTTCAAGTTCTGTGAAGAGTTACGTGTTTCTGGGTGTTGGCCAACATTTGGAAAAGCAATATCTACCCTGAACACATGGACTCTTGCTCCTTCTCTCAGCCTGCGGTCGGGTGTGAAATTCCATGCTTTTCCGTGCCGCGCTGTCAGGACCTTTTTGGCCGCTTCACGGTGGATCAGGCGGTGAAGATTTGGCAGGACTTCAGTTCGGTTTGGGATGAGATGGCCACCAGCGCCTTTGTGCCTCTACGTGATGCGGACGAAATGCGGACGAAATGGCAGGAAGAGATTTTGCGTGGAGACCTGTGAAGATGTTCTAGGGTCAAGGGCCCTGAGTACGATGGTTTTAGCTGGGAATGAGGGTGCCAGAGCTAAGAGGCGGCCAAGTGTGTTATTCGGCTAGCTCAGCAGCCGGGGTCCTCAAAGGAGGTGTTCCAGATGCAACCTTAATTGATTGGAGAGTGACAAACCGCTCTTTTTGAGGGCCATTCATGAGCCTCCTTTTGAAACCTGGCTTGTTTAGCATCCAGAAACGGCCCGCGCCCCTCAACCAAAGCGTCTCAGTAGCACACGCAGCAAAATCCCTCACCATATACAGAACACCGCAAGATATACACCCGAAGGACCTTCCACAACTTGCCAGGCCAGGTTGGTGTAGGTTTGGAATGGTTTGGACCTCCAAGATCGAACACCGTCCTTCATAGCCCTTCCTTTTTGAGGTGGGAATCTTCAGTGAGATTTTCGCCTGGCAGAGAGAGGCTGTCCCCGTGCACGCGGGCTTTCGGCAGAATGTCCGAGCTCTAGTGGTGGGGAACCTCTACGACCCGGCCTGTGCCGTGGCGGAATGCGCCGCTTCAAACGCCCCCAACATGTGTTTTGTTTGGGGAGTGGTGGTGTTGAGGAGTATATCATGCAGACCTCTTGCAAGATTGGAGCACAAGTCTTTAGACAGTTTGACACAAGACTTAGTGAGATCCCCTGTCTAAGACCAGTGCGATCGATTCAAATAGTGTTTTCATGCTCTCATTTGCCTGGCAGCTGCTTGGAACTCGACATGGCAGCAGTTGTTGTTGTTGTTGTTGTTGTTGTTGTTGTTGTTGTTGTTGTTCTTGTTCTTGTTCTTGTTCTATCTTTTCAATTGGTTTTCGATCAAAAACATCAATGAATCAAAGAACGTAACTTACTGTTTTCAATAAATTGCAACAGTGTTCTGTGCGTACAACGTTTGAGTCTAGGGCTCCATCAATCTCTACACTGGTCCAATCAAACACACCATGTGTATGACGTCGTTTCCTACATAGTGGGTTCTGTGCACCTGTACGGTACCAGGTGAATGCTAGGTTCTTCCCATTTGGTTGTTCCCGGAGCCTTGAGGCAGCTACACTTGGAGCAATCGCATGCGAGAATCGTTGCCTAACAGCGTGATGATGATTTGGCAAGGTGTAGGGCATTGCTTGGGGGAGGGTGGAGACTACCCTGGCAGTGGCATGAAGCCATGCTTGGACCGTCTCCCGTCTCAAAGCCTTGCTGTCTCCCGTCTCCGTGGCGTGGTGGTTGGTGGTTGGTGAACGGGCTTCCCTTCAGCTGAGCGTCCTAGCAACCAACATCATTATGTTGACTCTTGATTGATACTTACCCCCCCAGCAGAATCAGCAGAACGGTCAAACATCTACACATCTTTTGTGGGAGTTACTAACCAACAGTATCCAACAGTCAACAGCAGCTGGAGGGTGAGACGACCCGGTCTTGACATATCTTGACCGCCCACGTTTGGAGATTTGAGTGCTACTTTGCAGGTCACTTTCATGTGCCTGTGGACAAGTGATTGTTCGAACACATTTGAAACGAAAATTAATTCTTTTTTGGAAAGAGCACAACTCCACAAGGCAGCCAGAAAGCGGTGGCTGAATGAGGGAGCAGTTGAAACCTGGAGATGACGTCCACAGTGAAGGTGTATATATATAAATATATATATAATGATATATATATAATATATTATGCTTCCTTTAAAGTCGTGAATCGTCCGTCAGATCTATGTGCTCCTTATAGCATTTGGGGATGTTTGGGAGCTCACATCCACCAAGGGGAGACTGCCAGGTGGGGACGATCAACTGTAGCCAGCGCCTGGTCTCGCGAAACACCGACCAAATCGACCAGAACCTTCCTTTCGGGGTCTCCAATAGACGACCCTACACTACTTGTCCCAGACACGACTAATGGGACTGACATATTTACATTGGGGTGGTGCCAGGGGGGTTTATGTAGGCATATGTTCCAGTCCCATGGAGTGTTTGGTTGTGGATCTCCATTATCACACCCCGACATGAAGGTCGGTGCGGTGCATCGACTCAGTGCATCGGAGGTATGGCCAGCTACTGGGTCACAGGGGAGCTCCCCATCGACGGCTTTACCTGCCGGACGGAGGAGCCGGTGCCCCTTTTGACGCCAGGAGTGAAGGGAGAGATCTGAGTCACTCAGGGGAGAGACCTGAGTCACTTAGAAAACTGGACAACATAGAACAATGATATACAGAGCTGACCCATTCGCTCACGGTTCTCAAGTGTCATGGGGTCTTGTATCTCAAGTGTCATGGTTCAGTACTTGTTGAACATTGGCGCCGTGGAATCTCCCCTCCGATGTTTCGTCTCATACTGGATTCCTTCCATTTGGCATGATCAGCGGAGCTGGACGGAGCCACCTTAAGAGTTTCTTCAAAAAGGGGTAGTCGAAGAGAAGTTGGTGAAATCTGGGGCACTTGGGCAAACCAAGGTGTATATGTAGTGCCGTTGTCAGGGAGAGACTGAGACTGAGACAGAGACAGACAGGACAGACAGACAGGCAGACAGACAGAGACAGAGAGAGAGAGAGATAATTTGGTGCAAAGCCAAGCCCGGCAGCGACCAAGGATGTGACGCCTGCGGCCTGCCGTTTTTTGACCGTCACCATTCACCATAGGTTTGCCTTTCGTCGCACCGTCGCCGGTGGACGAGATGAGAAAGAGCGAAAGAACTTTTTTTCGCGCCTGGCACGCTGGTCATCAATTCAGGCACAGCCCGGATTCAATCCAGCGCTGTTTTAGCACCACAAAGCTTGGTGGAGACGATCGCTGAGCAAAAGGACGAGAAGCTGCGGGAGCTGCTGGAAGAAACTGGAGAGGTGGTACAGGTGAGTGGTGGCGGTGTTCGTGTGTTTTCGTCATTGTCAGGGCGAGTTGTGTGTTTAATTGTGCTGGTTGCTGGGCAAGGCTCCCTTTTCAAGAACCATCGTATACTTGCACTCCCTGGAGCTAGCACGGAAGTAGCAGAAAATCGTCCTTGGAAGGCCGTTTTCCTCCACAAACGGGATTGTCTCTTCCATGCTTAGTTCCAGGGAGCGTATTCCTTGTGCTTGCTGCATGCCCACCCTCACGTGGCGCCAGGGTGAGCTGGAGATCGAGGAGTGCGCCAAAGTGTTGGAGCCGCTTGGCTGACGGCGCAGTAAACACGTACAGCGGCCGGGCCGGCGGTATAAGATCACGATTCTTGGGATTTCGGCCTGCAAGCTAACCATCATCATCCTGCTTCTCCCTGCAGTTCCCAAACTCTTGCCATCGAAGGTCCCAGAGTCTTAGGGCCGGACGCTTTTTGCTCAGAATCGGTGTTCTTCAGTGAATTGGAGCCGGACCTATGCCTCTTTCACCTTTCCTCAGAGGCAGGAAATAGTTCAAGCAAGGCATGTATTGCATTTGTGCCTGACACCTCAGTCATTCAACGATCAGTTGTCAAAAGACTCTGGTATCTGAATGCCTCATGACAAACATGAAATAGAAGCAGAACCTATTCATTCCACGCAATCTACTAGACATCTTCTATATACTTGGCTTTTGTGCAATCTACTTGGGCAGGGAAGTGTGTCTGTTTCTTTTGGAGGTTGTTTTGGTACCATCCTCCGGTAGTTGGGAAGCCACTGACCTTCTTAACACTGACTTCTAACTCTCTGGAGGGGATAGGCGGAGAGCTGTTTGCCCGTTTCGGTCACATGGCCGTGCCCCGCTTCCGGGACCGCCAGCTGGGAAGGCCAATCAACCAACCAGCCAGCCAACCACGCAACCAGTTTCAATGCACAGCCACCCAATCTTCCCACACACCAAGGCTGACCAACTTTTCAGCTACCTGGACGCACACAGGGGCTTCGGGTAGGTTGTCCTGCGCTGCATCATTGGGTTCTAGGTGTATACTTGGCCTCCTGGAGTCTTGCGAAAGGCGAAAGGGATCTACAGTGGACTCTTGATTAAACAACCCCCTCCATTTGGATTGTAAAACCTCGTCGACTAAACTATAATCAAGGGTAAAGAGAACAACAATTGCTACAAGATGGTTGTACTGATTTCGACTGTTGTGGCACGTTCAGGGCAATCCTCCCAATCTCAATTTTTGCAAGATGACCCCAAACCACTTGGAGTATGAAACTCGGTCGAGTTCCTCAAGACAGCTTTCCCCACTGCTTGACCCGAAAGATGCTGCATGATGCTGCTTTGCTCCATGTGCGACAGAGGAGCCGAATGGATTGAATCTGGCAGATACCGTTAAAATCCGTTAAACAAGATACAAGAACTACATGGACACAACCACATGGCCACGTTCCTGTCATCCTTTGGGATTGTTTTGCATGGTTCACGAGTTCTACTTCGATGTACATTCTTGCTCTCCTTGCTGCTGCTCACCACATCTTTCGCCGACCCCAGGCAGGGGAGGAGATCATCCGCGAAGGCTGTCGGGCCCAGCCCAGCCAGCCGTGCTTCTGCTCGGATGGCTGGTGTGGATGGTCAACGACCCCCCGCTGTGATGCAGAGATCGGACTAGATCGGATGAGCGGTCGACCAGGCGGTTGACCCAGGACATGCAGTATACCGGATCATCCTCCTGTGGACATGCGCGGAACGTGAGGGATCATCCTCGCAGAAAGTCGTGAGGGATCATTCTATTTGGAGTGTTCAATCGTTGCATGGAAGCGATCCGGCCGGGTGTGTCTCTCAAGAACTCATGCCAAACATATGGCCTACATTCCTGCCCCTAGGGCTCCAAATGCCTTCTCTATACATACTCTATAGATCCTCCTGGCATCCGCCCCAAGACGAAGGTAGTTGGATCCCGGTGTGCATACGTTTGGGTGTGGCTTTTGGACGAGTGGCGAGTCAGAGTGGTGATTCAATCAGACGTCCAGCGTCCGAGACAGGAGCCGTCTTCGGCAGGTGAGGAGGGCTTCGACTGCTTCATTGTGGATACTGGAGAATGTTATGCCTCCATTGAAGCCCGGACCTTACATTGAAGCCCTGGCCTTATGGACAAACGGTTTGTTGAAAAGCTTGGTAAAAACAGGGTAGGCCGATGTTGATGTGAAACGTGCCCATGTTGCAGGAGAACCAAGCGGCACAGCTGTCATTTCCAGGTCTGAGTTCCTATTTAGCTTGGAATGTGATGCTTTTATTTATGGCCGGATTGACCAGAAAAGCTGAAAAGCTCCTTTATCGTTTTGATTTGGCCCGATGGTCCGCAGTATTTTGCCAGCACCGTTTCGCCCCAGAACCGTGGCGCCGCTGAGATCAATGGTGAAAGGAAGGAAGTCCTCAAGTACGAGCCGGGCGGCTTCTTTGGCGAGCGGGCGCTGCTGAGGACGGCCGTGCAGGGAAGCGGGAAAGAAGTGAATCGGCCGAGCAGAGCGGTAGGTGTGTTTGCACACCGGCTGGTACTGGAAGTGGCTGGCGCCCCTTGGACGATTCTCCTCAAGGGTTGTGGGGGTACCTTCCACTTCCATGATTGTTGCAGGGAGAGTAACTCTTTTGTGACTGGGGTTTGACCTGCACAAACGTGCACTTGCATGTGACTAGCTATACCATAGAAGCGTTGTGCTTGTTTTCAGAACGAGTTCCTGTACTATGTGTGTACTCTGTGTGCTTGTGAAGCTCCTCATCCCCGCCGTGCTGCCACGCAGGAAGGAGGGCCGTGCTGCCACGGTGAGTGCACGGAGCGACGTGAAGCTCCTCAAGCTCAGTCGGGAGCCCAGAGCACGGCGCGAGCGAGGACAGTGGACGAGTCATGGCGCATGGCGGTGGGATTGACGATAGACGGCGATCCATTTGGGCGCAGTGACTAAATCAGTACCAGCATGTACCAGCCAGTTTTGTGGAGAGTGCCGTCATGGTTTCTTCAGGTGCCAAACATGAACAAATGCGCCAATGTGGACTGATGATATGATATTATACTTCATTAAGATTCCATCATGATTATGTTTTACAATCCAAACAAGGTTGCTATCCAGATCCTACATGATCCTTCCAGCACGTGTGTTTGTTTTCTTTTTCAGGTATGAAACGTCAGCGATCCGCGGCGGTCCGCGATGAATCCGCTTCACAGAGATGGAAAGCAAAGCAGATATGGACGTCCAAAACGTGGCAAGCACCGAGTGTCAATTTCCCCAAGTATCCATAGGACTGGAGGACTTCAGGCAGACACAAGTTTAACTGTGTTCATGAAAAGACACCGTCAGGCAAGCGAATCGAATTAACTTTTGGCAAGTGTATTGTGTATAGACTGTATAGTATTTTTGTAGTATTTGTAATTTATACATTATTTTAAAGAAGAATCTTAAGACCACCCCAGTGACATCTAGTGACTGTAGGCAGATTTTTCATACCAGCACGAACTGCCACTTGAAAGAGTTTGCATTTTAGCCACCCGAAGAGACCTGCCGTCGAGTCAGGTGCTGAGGAGTTCGTCTCGATGATTGAAGAACGAGACCACAAGGACCGTGGGACGTGCCACGTACGAAACACACCACCAGGTGGTGGACGTGCCTTATGAGAGGTTCAGTGATCGAAGATGATCGAAGAAGAAGACACGACTCTATTGGAGAACCTATTTAAATAGTATGTAGTATGGTTCTTAGTCTTCAACCTTTGTTGGTCGTTGGGACCCTTGGAACCTCTTGCACTGTTTTGTAGGTCGAGGCTGGGAAACATCCGAACAGTAGTGAGAATGCATCGGCCGGGAGTTGGAGCCGCGTTCCAGGAGAATTTAATTCGACACATCAAGGAGTTTGACATCCTGACCGATGCGCAGGCCCGACCGATGCTGTTCAGCATGCACAGCAAGTCGTTGATCAAGAACTGTTGCATTGAGAAGCGCCTTGGTGGCACATTCAAGTATTCATTCAAGTGGAAAACCACCTGTATCTTTGAAACTATTCTCATCCAAGGGGCCATGCCATCCACGTAACATCACGTAACCATGACCATTTCAGCGAGTGCAGTTGTTATTTGCCGTGTCACGCGTTTGAGCGACCGGCATGCCAGCCAGTCTCAGCAATCGCCTCATTGAGACAAGTGGAACACAAGACTCGTGGCCGAACATGCAAACGCATTGCGTTGGTGCGGCATAACACCTTTCCAATTTGCAGGAGACCCTCTCAAGGCAGTGTGTTATTAAAAAAACAATGGGTGCTGTGGAACCGAATCAAAACGATCGATCAGCGGGCCACCGTGCGGACTCGCCGGCGAGTCCAGGTGGCGCTCCTGGCCGGGGCACTGGAGCGACGTTGGTTCGACCAAGCGGACGCCTTGATCTACGGGCAGGTCGAGGCGAGGGATCTGGAAGTACGTGGATGCACTGGATCTGGGAGGGAGAAAGGCTTGGTTTCGCTTGGTTTCGTCAGGAAGTACGTGATTGTCAAGCCTGCCCAAAGTATTTGTTGTGTGTGTGGGATTGGGGGCACAATCTTCCAAGACCAACAGGTGGGAAAAGGTGAATTTCCAATAACCTCTACACATCTTCCAAGATACTGAGAGATACAGAAGAGTTAGTGTGCTTTTATTGCTGCCTTTGGAACATTTTGGAACATGTTTGGACCAAATGTTTCCGCTGAAACTATGTCCAGATCCCATTCGGTCATGTGTAAGACCAAGAACCGTTGGCAGATCTATATTTGCCACCTCACGGAATTTTCAATATTTGGTAGAGGCGGACAAGAAGCGGGTAGAGGGGAGAGACACCGACGTGTGTTTTGCTGAAAGTGTGTTTTTGAGCTTCTGAAGAGGTTTTGAGTTTTCAGTCGTTAGGAAGATTAGGAAGACCGACGTGTTTGTCATGGGCTCATACATCATGGAAGACTTCTTTGTACTTGCCAAGGGGCTAGAAGTGCTGGGTTTCCGAAATCCATGAATCCATCAAAGACTTTGTAACACGAGATATTCAGGAAATGTGTCCCAAATGGTCATCAGTAGTAATAATTACTCATCAAGAATGCCCCCAGACACTGGATTGTTGGGCAGGGGGGGCCCTGCTATACTATGGCTACTATGGTGGATCCAAGGGTAGATGGGGCTTCAGCCAGCCAAATGAGTACTGTAGTTTTGTTGAAGTCTCGACCGAAACGACACCGCCAGGAGAGCAACAACTTCTATATCCTGGAGGACGGGCCAAAAACATAACCGTTGGTGCACACATCCTCGATGGGTGCAAGCACCCCCCAGTTGTTGTTCTCTCTCTCCCTCTCTCTCTCTGTGGGAGTGCATGAAACTGTATGTTCCTTGCCTCATGTTAAGCCTGGTAGGCAAGAGAGGACAGTTGGAGAGCTACCCGTACTACCATGGCCATGATGTTCGCGGTAGCAATGCTGATGTACACACAATAAACCACCACACACCAGATTTGTCATTTTACTAGAGTGCTGATTGTAAGGTTTGTCTAATATACGCTAATATATAAGCCGATTGTTTCCAGGAAAGCTGACGGGTGTAGAGGGAACCCTTCAAGGCTTCTTCCAGCTACAGGAGGGCGATTGTGTGGCCACCATCCAACTGGAAGATGGACAAGAGATTGAGGCCTGCTTTGACCAATGTTTGCAGGAGAGCTTTTCTTGCCCCCCAAGTAGGTAATTAGAATACTGGAAGCCTCTTCAAACATGAAACCCTTTCAATACGGAATCAGACTCGACTCTAAACCCACTACTCTCGACTCTAAAGCCTGAAAGAGCACTGACCTGACGTCGTTGACTGCTGAAAAAGACTGCGTGTCTCACCACGTTTCTGGTGCCTTGCCATGATTGATTGGCCCAAATCTATGAGGCCAAGCAATACACCCAGGGGCAAATCTTTGGCGAGCAGGCGGCCGGGCCACATCGGTGAGGGCAGTTCTGCGATGTGGGGAAGTCCTCCAAGAGACGCACCTGAATTGTCTCAACCTCTTTGCTTCGGGATGATTGATCCCACTAATATCATTCAAGTGGGTTGGAGCCAGTAACCAGTTAGCCACATGTTGTCAAGGCAATGATTCCTTTATATCCGGGTTGCACTGGATTTCAACGGGAATTGAACTGCAAGACTATATATATATATATTACAACTATTACAGTTGCAGTCGCGGATATGACCAGTTGCCAAGTAATGCCAACTACACCGTATACCAAATGATTAAAGCTTCATTGACAAGTGTTTTCCATGGCCTCATCATCATGTGTGATCTATCTCTTCAGGATACATCCAGCCGACCCGTTCCTTCCGTTCGGGCAGGCGTTGCGCTCGGGCGGGCCCCGACAGAGCTCGGTGACCACGGTAGACACGGTGAAGGCGGACGGGCGGAGCTCGGTGCAGAGAGGGGTCCATGCTATCCAATGGGAGTAACAGGGTGAGGTATGATGTAGATACTGTAAGCAGACGATAGATGGATGAATGGATGGATAGATAGATGGATCGATCGATCAATAGATACTGTAGATAGCTAGCTATAGGCTATAGAGTTATAGTATAATATGATGTTAGTTATGTACCGGTCAGCGGACCCATGGTCCAAGGAAGAAACCTGGCCTGGCGCCAGGGGCTGGAAGGACCATGGTGCCAGGGGTGTTTTTGTTAAAGGAAAGACATGGACCACAGGCTCGCTCGGAGCCTCTGCGGTTCGCCTGCGGTTCGTCGGTGTGTTCGCCCAGCTGGTGGGCGCGAACGCCAGGTCTTGATGCTGAGCCGGGAGGACGCGGGTCCGCGCGGGTCAAACACATGCCGATGTTGGAATGCCCACAGCTGGGATTTGGGGAAGAACATCAATTCAATTTGTACTCTGGTACTGGTATGGCTTGTTGAAAATCATTTCTTGGTTATGTTAGGGGGCTTTGATGAATCTATATATAGACATACTCAAGTTGATTTTAGAGCTGTGGAGGATCCCAGACTGGTTTGCCCATGTGTGGCCCGGTCTTTGCGCCTTTCCTCACTAACTACTAGAATATACACAATATTATATACTAAGCGACAAGTGTGTGAAGTGAATGCAGAGCAGAACCACGAAACAAAGTGGAAACAAAACAAGCAAATACAAGCAAACCAACAGTGAAGAACCATAACGCAAGTCGAACCATACATGTGCATGACTTTAACACGCAGCACGGCAACACATGCTTAAAACAAACCACTTCAATTGCATCACAAATGCAAGAAGCCAAGCAGAACGGACATCGAGCACAACAAAATTGACACGTCACAATTCTTCTACGAAAGACGGAGTGTCAAGCAAGCTACATTCTATATAATTTTTAATACCTGGTTCTTCAAAGTGACCTTTTGATTCCCTGGTTTGAGGTCACTTAGGGACTCCAAAAAGGTCACTTTGAAGAAGCTGGTAGTTGATGTTAATACTGTGTTATTTGCTATATTAGCTATGCATGCGTCATGAGACTTGCAGACTTACAGAGCTGCTTCCCGAAGATGACCACGAAATGGTCCGACCGGTCCGCGGTGGCCCACGGAAGGGGCAACTGGGACGGGTTCCGTGTCCGATCGGTGTCCGGCCGTGCTTCGCGGCCCAGGAGTTCGAGCGAAAGCTGGGCAGATGGAGCGACCTGAAGGCGAGCCGTGCGGAAGAACCGCCGAGCCGTTGTTCGATGGCAGATGGGTGGCATGTGGCAGGTTGTTCTTCCTGCTCCAGTCCTGGAGGCCAAAGTTGGTTTGAAAGTTGGATCAAAGAGCGAAACGATGAATCAAGACCCTCATGTTGCGTCCTTCCGGATCCTCTAAGGAGCTTCACTACCCTCATGCGGGGCTCCCTTGTTCCACCAGCTGGCTGACGGCAGGCCGCGGCGGAGGAGGCCGACCCACGGCGCTTGATGGCCGACTTCTATCGCCTAGGTGTTCGGAGCCCCCAGTCCGATGGCACCAAGCGGATCGGCACCTGCCGCACACACCTGGCGAGTCGGTGGAACATGAGGATCTCCTGGGAGGTCGCATGAATAGGCTGCAGTGGAACACAAATGTGCTGGTTGGTGGAACACAAACTGCCTCCCTATAGTCAGAAAACCTTTGGGAGGAGCTTTGATAAGACAGATCCAGAAGATTGGAAACTCAAGTTGCAGCTGGTTCATGACTGGCTGTGGAAAAAATGCGATTTTGTAAAGGATACTTGTCCTTTCCAACTTTCAAGAGGACAAGAGGCACAAAGACCTGGGATCATCAAAGATGAGGTAGCCCAGGCTTTGCAAAGCATTGTGGATGAATTAGGATCCAAAACTAAATACCCCAGGATGCTCTAAGAGCATGGCAAGTGGAAAACCTGTGTGCATTTGAGCTTTGCAGTGCAGTTCTGGGGGGAAGGGAAGGGAATGAAACAGAATGTTTCTGAATTCAAGTGCAGACAGTGGAATTTATTTGAATGTTTTGGTATTATGATATATTGTCTAGAATCTTTGATGAATAACCCTTTGATGAGTGACCACGACCTTCTGAATGACCGTGTCAGCACCATCGGGACCATTTGACAACAGTTACAGTTCGTGGAACAAATTCCACAGCCGCTGAAATCCTTTTTCAAGGACGCTTACTGCTCACTGCTTCCTCCAGTGACAATTCGTGAAGGTGCCTTATTTGGGAACCGCAGGTCCCGCGTCATCCCACATCCCATTCCGCGTGAACGTTCACAGGAGGAGGTCGAACCCAAGTAGAGTCCTGGTGTTTTCACCCTGTGGGAGTCCGGGACAGGCATCGTCACCCCCTGCGCGACGCATCGCGACGCGCTGGACACCTCGCGGACGCGTGTCTGCCCGTGTTTGCACCTCTACCGAGGACTCCCGCGGGCCGCGGGGCTCCTTGGCTGGAGAGGAGCCCGATCCCAAAGAGGCCACCAGGCGAGGAAGGGATCCAGTGCGAAGGTGAAGGCCGTTCGCTCGACGAAGCTACCAGCGGTCCTACCAGGTCTTGGAAGGGTGGCTCACTTAATTGTTGTACTATACAGCAGGGCGTAGTTGGCATCATATCTGGTTCCAAACCCGTAGTTGGCAGTTTGCTTGTGACCTTTTTCTGGACGTCCAGGATGTTTTGAAGGCTTAGGGAACCGTGGGAGACACAGCAGGTCTTTCAGGACCTTGCGCATTTGGGCACGCATCGTGGCACGCAGTCCATGGACGCTTCCTTCGGGGTCCCAGCTCCGATGTGTCGGGCTCAGATGCTGCGTTGCGTCCGAAGCAGCCTTACCCTAGGGCTCCAGTCGTACCTCCTCGGTGTTTGGACCTTCTAAACCCTCCCCAAACACCTAAGAAGGTACTTAGAGCCCTAGGGTTCAATCACGTTCCCGGCCGGGCAGGTGGTTCGCGGTGTACCGGCCCTGCAGCTCGGACTCCATCCGGAAGATGTATGGCAAGGCGAGGCTGTGAAGCCATGGGTTCCCCCATGCGGGAGACGTGCTTTGGTCACAGTGATTTGGGGCGAAAAGAAGGAATGCAGATGTGTTGACAACGTGGTTTACAGACAGAGTTTTTTCATGTTTTTTCTGTACGAACGCGAGAGAGAGACTGAGAGAGAGATGTGTGTGTGTGTGTGTGTGATTGGAACAGGTTTGTGAACGCTGGGTATATGGCCTATGTCAACACAGTTGCTTCCTGTTGGCTTTTTGGCCGTAAACTTGTTCAGCTTGTTCAACCGACCATGGCAGACCACGACCGATGTTTTAAACTGCCTGACAGTAACCGGGATGGCTTTGAATTGCCATCTCAACTGGCTCCAATCCCTACCTACCAGTGCTCGTTGCACCAACCCCTTCGGAGAAAAAAACCAGCGCAATCTGCAGGTGGGCGTGGGCAAAGGCCTCAACGTCAAGGGCAAGTTGGGGAGCTTGGAAACGGGGCTGGGCTGATGTGCATTTGAAGGAGGACAGCGATAAATCCATACGGTTGACGGTTTGCCTTTTGATTTGTTTTTTGTTAACATGCCATTTGAACAGAGGGTGTTGCCTTTGTCCATTCCCCCGAGGATAATTGGTCCAAGCAAGACAAAAAGCAGGGAATAGACAACCAACCTACCTAGGGGCATCTTGAGATGGAGACAGCACACGGTATTCCGTCAAGGGCACAATGAGACCTACGTATAGCTATTGCAGAGGTTTCTTGAACCTGTTTCTGGGTTGAGGGGTGTTCGATGAGAACCTGGACTTTGCACTTACACCAAGCCAACCCATCAAAAGATCACAGAGAACATCATTTGGTGGCTCCTTTGTTAAGGGGATTTTCTCTCTGACCGTTTTATGCACACGCCCAATTGTATGGATTTTCCTGCAGCCACAGATGCCCTCAGCAAGTCAAATCAAGGTGCATCATTAATGTAAACTGTTGAGTAATTAATAAAGCCCCTATGTGAAGAGGTTTTGCCATCTAAATTGGGTCTTGTGACAACCCACAGGATCCCTATACCTCTCGTGCCGCATGGGCTGTTGTGTTAAAGCAATCAACCCATAATACCTATCAATCACAAACATTCCAAGTCTTGGCCACAGGTCATTGTACAGGCCTTCAAACCATTAATCGGGCAGAGCTCCAGGCCATGGTTGTGGCTGTTGAGGCTATTGCCCCCCTACAACCACAAAGTTCAATTAGCTTTTGCACAGACTCGCAATATGTTGCTAATTTTGTTCAAGCCATTGAATATGGACATGTAGATTCCCACCCGCATAAACACTCGCATTGGGATCTTATTCAACGCCTTATGTTTTGGTGGGACCCGGTACACTACACCATCATTAAGATCAAATCCCACAGAAAAGTGGAAGATGCCACTTCACCGCAGGATTGCCTCAATATTTGGGGCAATATGTTTGCTGATGAAGCAGCTGTAAAAAACACGCCAAAATGATTTGCCAGAATACGATCAACTATGTTCCGATGTTCGTCAGCACTATATCCAACAAAAGAAACTCCTCCCTCAAATTTGGCAATATATGTTGGATAGTGCATATCAACGCCTCCTCAAAACCGAAGCAGATGCTAAATATCATAAAGATTTGCCCATGGGGCTATCACAGGTTAACCTCCAACCTGCTTGTGACTCTGAAGGCAACAATGTAGATACTCCCCTGACCCTGCGTCTTAAAAAATATCAAGATTGGACAGTCTTGGGAGAGATTCATCAAATGCCGCCTGAACCACATCAAGTGGTTTTTTGGTCATGTACATGGGGCATCAATATGTCTCGACTCGTGTGGCGCTACTTGACACTCCTCAAATGGCCTCGCGCAGATGCCCCCCCACGGCGGGATGATCGTGGGATATCTTGGGTCGAGCTTGCCTTTTCTTTCATGTTATGGTCTGGGCACTCACTCCCTGTTAAAGTTCGCACTGATCGAGGGTGGCGAGCCTACCCAGTGTCTGACCCCAAAGTCATGCTCTTGCCCCCAAGCCACAGGTCTGTCCGTAATCTTGCTGAAAGTTTCCGTTGGATTGTAAAGCATTTACAAACTTTCTCTCAAACCAAATTTATACCCAGCTATCGCAAGCAGGGTTCTAAAAGTTTAGTATCTCTTGGTTTTTCGACAGACCATGAGGGAGGGGTTGCCTGTCGTCCTGCATTGCCGAATGGAGAGGCCACTTACAAATACTTTCATGATTTCTTGCTGACAATGCCGTGCCCTCTGCCATACCACACAAATGTTCCCCTCCCGCCTACTGATGGCTACACCCCAGAGACTCAATGGCCAGGGTGGCAAGAAGCAGATGCTGATAAACAACAGAAATTTCAATTTAAAGTCCGCAATTCGCTGCGTACAAAGCGAAATTTAGATGTCTTGACACATCCTGACCTCAATTAGGTGCGTGCATTCTTTAATTCCGAATCACTCTTGGATCCGATGGTGTGTCCGTGTGTCTTGGTTCTCGCCCTCCGTGCATTCGTAGCTTCGTAGGTTCGTAGTGTACATATCTTTCATCTGTTCTCACACCTTCCATGAGTGTTTCACTTCCCCACCCGCACCCGCTAAACATCGGCAAGGGGTGGTGTGGACGCGTTCAGACTCGCAAGTTCGTGCATCCAAACTGGGCGGGTTTTATTGGATCATTCTACAATTGTACCGCACATGGTTTCTTTGATAGGTCTTTCGATCTGAACTCGCCACGCTGGTGCTTTCCCACCGAGGTCGGCCAAGAAGAACCGGCTTTCCGGTTTTGTCCCCTTCATCCAGATCAGCTCGGAACACTCAGAGACGGCGCTTTGCAACCGGCAAGCGGGTGGGTGTGGGGCGGGCGTGTTGAAGACCCCAACTTGATTGCCGTGGTTCTTGAGCAGAAGAAGTAGAAGCGAAGTGGCATGAGTGCTAAAGTACCTAGCTGGCTGTGCTGCCCCTTGAGCTGAGCATATCGCCCGGTGTGTGTGTGTGTGCGCGCGCGCATCTCGGTTTCTCGTGTCGGGCACCTAGGTGACAACAACCACAAGAAGGAAGTGGAGGCCACGCGTCATCATGTATATGCATGAAATTCCTCAATCCATGGACCAATGATTTCCAGGGAGATTTGGCAAGTTTAGCCATGACTTTGGTCAACCATGTCAACCAAGCACTATATTACACTATATAGCAGCATGTTAAGCTACTAACTTGAGGCTGGGAATTCGGCCGGATGTGACCAGGTTGGTGCCCTGATTGAGACTCAGTGGAGTGGCAGGTGGTGACCTGGATCCCAGTGGAGTGGCACCACTGGGTCACAGAGACCACTACTATATTACATAAGGAACCGGAACTTCTATGGTTTTAGTCTTTGGAACTGGTTGATCATGAGTCAGGTAAGTATATGTAAGCCCTGGAAGTCAAAGACTATTTAAACATGGTTGATCTGAATTAATAGTGTAGAACCCTTAGTGAAACAATGGTGGTTCGGGATTCAGGCTATTAAAACAATGGTGGTTCGACTTCTAGGGTGAGTATATCCATTTGGTGCGATGAAAAAAACGGACCCTCCCTCGATCTCGCGCACAACAGGGCCACGAGCGCGGTGTTTTGGGGCTCAAAAGGGCAACCGAAAAACACCATTGCCTACCAGGGGCCCGAACCAAGCCATCGAAAACCTGGTTTTCCCTAGCAAAAAACATTGTTTTCGTATGTGAAAACCTGTATTTTTCATCGTTTGGTTCGGGCCCCTGGTACCTGAGAACAAAGAGACCTGTGAACACAGCGCGAAATACAGAGAGAGAGAGAGAGACACTCTGACATAGGTTTGCAGTTAACTCAATTCCCAAGGAAAAATGGCGATGGAACCGAAAGGTGAAAGAGTCGGAGCACTTGAAGGTGTTTTAACAAAGGAGTTGTTCACTTGACTGCGGAATCTAGCTACTGCATTAGCCCTTTACTGCAAGAACGGTAAGGTGCAAGGGTCCGAAGAACAGAACTGTTTAACAAACGCACTAGCACTTTACCAAAGCTAAGGAAACCTGTTTTGGGGGATATCATGCGAACAACCGCCATGGAAACAACAAAGTTTTCACCCGCGCAGGTACAAAAGTTTGCGTCCAAACTTCCATCCAGTCGATTTCCCTAGCTTCGTTGGCGTGACTAGGAAATCGGCCGTCACGCCCCCTGCGACTTAAAAGTTGAGAAAAACAGAAACTCTTAGTTACAGAGGTGGACACACACAGAACGCCGATATCGGCGCTCTGGGGGAACTTACTAATCACCTACAAATAGCCTTAGAACGAAAGGAAAGAAAGACAGAGAGGAAAACGCAAAGGAAAGAGAGAAAGATAGGTGTAGTGACAAGGCCCACTAGTTACGAAACCTGCTAGTTGCTGACTACTTAGCCGAATGAATTAAATGCAGTAGTTAGCGAGCGGGACATACGTCTTAAACCGCCGGGTAGCTAGGAGTAGAAAAGGAGAAACAGAAGGAAAGGTACTGACACACAAGTGTGTCGAGTACCATTTCCTTCTGTTACCCTAGATAGCGGGTGGGATAGAAACACGAATTAGGTTGCAAGGTGGGGGGGGGGTGTGGAAGTGCAAGTGTGGACAGTAGCTTCACTGGCCTCAATTCCTCACATGGAAATGCAGCACATGGAAATGCAAGTGGAGATGCAAGTGGGGGTATTTAGTAAGCCCGACGGCATCAAATTCAGTAAATCCAGTAGTGAAACTAAAGCGGTCAAGAAAATCCAAAGAGAGGTGGAGAACGGTGGAGTCAGTTACACGATTTCCGGAATGAAAACAGCGCCTCCTTGCGGAGGACCACACCCAGCACCCAAGTGGGACGACTGAGCGAGTCACACTCTGACATTGGTTTGCAGTTAACTCAATTCCCAAGGAAAAATGGCGATGGAACCGAAAGGTGAAAGAGTCGGAGCACTTGAAGGTGTTTTAACAAAGGAGTTGTTCACTTGACTGCGGAATCTAGTTACTGCAAGCCCTTTGCTGCAAGAACGGTAAGGTGCAAGGGTCCGAAGAACAGAACCGTTTAACAAACGCACTAGCACTTTACCAAAGCTAAGGAAACCTGTTTTGGGGGATATCATGCGAACAACCGCCATGGAAACAACAAAGTTTTCATCCGCGCAGGTACAAAAGTTTGTGTCCAAACTTCCATCCAGTCGATTTCCCTAGCTTCGTTGGCGTGACTAGGAAATCGGCCGTCACGCCCCCTGCGACTTAAAAGTTGAGAAAACAGAAACTCTTAGTTACAGAGGTGGACACACACACCCCACTTTTGGATGAAAAAAGGGTGACAAGTGCGCCAAAGAATTAACAGGCAAAGACAACTCAAAACTGAAAAGACGACTCACTAGACAAGTTCTTGTTGAACTCGCCAGGAGATTCCATGTGATTCCCTTTTTTCATGAGGTGAGTGAAGGCGTGAGAACCAAAAACGTCACCTCCGACAGGACGCTCCTCGTGATGCCCGCACCAAAATCTTCTTCCGGAGCCCCGCGCGTGACACAGCGCGCGTGTTGTCGCGCAGCCCTGTACAACCCAGGGACAGGGACCAGAATATACCAGAATGATCAGAAACTGCCGGCACATTCCAAGGGGTCACCAATAATAGACAACCCTACAGACACTACTTGTGGATCTCCCGTCAAGTCATTCAAGTTGACTTCTATATCACCGTCTCCTCGAAACCTCTCCAAGTCATTTCTGCCTTTGGAAGATGAGTTTCCTTTCAATAGTTGATTCCAAGCCTTGATTTGACCCCCGAATGTCATTTTCTAAGGCGTTTTGGCCTTCCATTTGGCACCAATTCCTCGCCCCAGAAAATGACACCTCCCCTCCAACTAGCTTTGCTTTGTTGCGCCCCACAGGGTGGCGCCCGCTTGAATTTGCGTTTGAACATTCCTCCGTATTCCTCCTGGAGAGCATTCGGAGCAACAGGATCGGAGTGCGGAAAGTACCGATTTTGAAAGGTGAGCTGCATGCCAACAGTCTCAGCACGGAGTCTCAGCACCTGTGTTTTCACCTCGCAGCCCGGTCACGTCACGTGTGGTATAGATGTGGTGTGTGAAGCGAACGATCTGAGATCGGTGGTTTCCCCGATCTGTCCCATGTTCGCATCGTTCGACCGTTCGATCCGTCGGATTCCGTGAGGAACAAGCTGGCGCGCGAGCAAGCCGAGAAGTCCTTGGACAAGGTCCTCAAAGAGGCGGGGACCGTTCTCCCGGGTCGAGGCCGCCGGATCGAGGCGATCCGCTCGCACGGAGTGCGGGACCGTTGGGTTTTTGGAACATGAGGCGGGAGAGGTGAAGAGACCCGGTAAAGCCTGGTCCTGACAACCCCATTGAGCAGTGTTTTTTCAGCAAAATGGGGGGTCAAACTGACCTGTCCGGGATGTGATGATGTCGATGAACTACTGGCGTTTTGGAATCGCGGTGTGTGAGATGTTTAGGGCTTGGAGGCTTGGAGATCCTGGAAGAGACCGAGGTTCTTGTTGGTAGGTCGGGAGCGTCTCCTAACCTCCAACCTACTAGCAATGGCCTCCAACCTAATAGCGATGGCCTCCAACCTAGTAGCACTCCCATCATAGACCTGAGCTTGGTGTGACATCTCTTTTGGTTTGATGCTTGGGATCTAGAGGGATTGCTGAGTGGGAGAACGGAGAAATCCATCTACCTTGGGGCTCGTGGAGAAGGCAGTCTCCTCTATTCCTGGACATGGCCAGGCATCCTTGAAGATCGACGATCCAAGTGTCAAGGTCATCTCGGATTACGCCCCTTGGCACGCGGTTCCAGTGCCGTTCGGGCGCTGCGACCGTGGCAAAAGACCGTGGGAGTGGCCTGACTTTCAGTAGATCCAGTCCTTATTACAGAAATTTATAGATATTTATAGTCCTCACAATTGGCGTGGTTCAAATAGTCATTGGATGTCATTGGTGTTTGAGTCTAATCCACTAAGGCCCCACTTTCCGTGGTGCTGGTTGGTTTATAGACCTTTGACTGTCCTGCATGTTCTCTCCCATCACCCCCGGACATCCGTGCTGCATGTTCAGCTACTCGAAGACCGGCGCGAATCCACTGGCCTTTCGTCGGCCGTATCGGACCTCCACGGTGGGCCTCAGAAGCGAAGACGACGGGCCTCAGAGGCGAAGAGCCATGTGAACCAGAACTCTACCCAGCAACTAGAACTCCATTTCTGAATGGTCATGAGTCATGTCTTTAAAACTCATAGTCTGAGTCCCACTTGCCAGTGGGAAGAGTTTCACTTCAGATGGGATTCACTTTCTAGATGAAGCCAAAGAGGTGTTCATAAGTGGATGGCCCAGGTCCCCAAAAGGGTTTGGCAAGGGGAGTTCACATACCGTATACCCACCTGTAAGACAACTGCCGCACTGCCCGCATGGCATGCTTCCTGCAGAGCTATGCAGCTGCGCTGGCGGAGCGGGTGCCACGCTTTACGGTTCATGAGGAGCACGACGGGTACCGCTATGTTGAAATACCGAATGAATCAGAGGCGTATCAGGTGACCACATTGAGTCAGACGGAGGAAGGCCTGCTGGGCACCAGCCTGGCTGGTGACCAGGTCTTCCTCTTGCCCTTCAACCTGCCTAGCAGCGTCTCGGAGCTCCGAACCACACTGGCCCCATTGCTGGGGGTGGCGCCAGAACGGCTCACGCTGCTGTGCGCGGGTGTGGAGCTGCAGGGTGGGGTGGAGATCGTGGAAGTGGATGCATTGACCTTGCGAAGTCCAGTGGATCGGCCAGTGCTGTGCCGCCGGACCGAGGACTACGATGAGCACGCCCACGACCGCTTGAGGATGAACGTGCACAGGCTGCCGGAGGGCGAGATGATCCAAGCATTGGAGGACAGAGGACGATGGAGGCTGATCTACACCAGCAAGGAGGTACTTGTTGAAGATCTTTACGCCATTGATGATCCAGCCGTAGAGCCTTGGGGCTTCTTCCCCTTGGCGCCCCGCTGGCCGATGCCTGCTGGCGCGTCACCCCCGCGGCGCGCGGCGCCCAGTTGTGATGTGTGGAGCTGCCAGCTGGCGCTGCCGGTGAAGGGGAAGCTGGATGCACATGCGAGCAAAACGAATGATCGGCCCATCCCTAGATATCAGATGATAGTGGATCCCAACCTCTTCGTGCACCAGCAGCTTTGGGTGCCCAGTGAGTTTGACATCACCAAGGAAGGCTCCTGTCGCCTGGTCGGGGGCGAACGCAGCCACCTCGAGCCGCAGCTGGCTAAGGAGGTGGCTCAGCCAGTGCTGGAAGCTGCCTTGCCCCTCTTAGCCAAGCTCCGCCGGCCGCAGCTGCTCTTAGAAGACCGGCGGCTGCAAGTCGTCTTCAAGGAGCGGGTTGTGTTGCCCAGGGGGGGGGCAAGTGCCGCATAGTTTCTGATATATATATAATCAGTGGAGTGGTGTTTAAATGTTAGAAACCCTAAACTACCCTAGTTGAATACAGAAAGGCCTGTTGTGAGTGGCGCAAAATCATGCTTCTGTTGAATGATATGGTACGTATGGTAATCTCTTTGGTTGATGGATTTAGCCACTCACATCAAACCCCAAACCAACCATATTTGCGACATATTTGATGGCAATGCTTTGGACGTACCTAATCAGGCAAAGTATCAAAACAAAACCCAACCAACCTGAAACCATCAATTTCTGCGACATGTTCGATGGCAATGCTCCTGATGTTGACAACTTGAGTGAGGCAGAGAAGTATCTTTTAAATCTGATGGGAGGCAGGGTAAACAAGGTGAGTTGTGTTTTTTTGGATACTGAGCAATTACTGGGAATGACTGATGAATACATAGAGGAATGAGAAGAAAAGGGAGGAAACATGAGGCAACACAATACTCAGGTGGAATGCTTTTGAGGGTGATGCAGGACAATGTGATTTTGAAGGAGATTATAATCACGGACACTTTAAGATTAAGGATTGCAAATAACATTAAATCCTATACTCCAACAGTATCTGACAAAAAGAACTTGACCAATTTTCTTATATTTAAAGAATTGTTTGTCTTACCAAGGCGTGACAAGGCCCATCAGGCATTGAAAAACATGTATTAAAATAGATTAAAATAGATAGTGTTCAGGTTGACGCATTCATCATTGAACAATGTTTGGTGGTTCTTGGGCTGCTGCACTTCTGATTGACTGTTCGCTCGTGGGTTAATCCAGCTTAAGCTTACAACCCCGAATTCTGCAACTCACAGCAAGCCCCTTTGCTACAAAACGTAATACATAATATACCAATATATACCGCTTTTCCGTGGTGCTGGTATAAATTGCAAGGTTATTTTTATTCTACGATTGATATTGTTGGGACTGCGTTTCTTCTACAACTATATATTTATATTATATTATATAGTGCATCCTTGTTTGATCATTTGATTGTTTGTTACCTTATAATTGTCTTTACTAAACATTCCCCTTCAGGCCCAGCGCATCACCGTCCCCGGGCGACGTGCCGATGGCTCCAACTCAGAGTACATCGGCCTTTGGCATGTGGACGGGCACTGGGAGCATGTGGCGGCCGTGGTCTTGTATTACTACCACGTGGACCCACAGCTGGTCGGTGGTGACATGGAGTTCTGTGGCCGCGAGCCAATAGCTGAGCTGGGCATTGGCGATGGTGGCAACTTCACAGAGTTCCACCGGGGCTCCTTGAGAGCAGGCCTACGGGGGGAAAAGGCACCTTCGTGCGAATGTGTTACGAAGCTGGCCAATTGCAAGGTGCCAATCCGGGAAGGGACCCTGTTGGTTTTTTCCAACTGCCAGTTGGCTCACCGAGTTTTACGGATGGTGAACCAGGGCACTGTAGAAGCCTCGAGAGACTTCGTGGCGCTCTTCGTGTTGGATCCTGCTTTTGGACCTTTGCGGCCAGCGAGGAGCGTGCTCAGTGCCGGCTATGACATTGTCAGAGCATTGCAGCACCGTGGGGTGAGCATTCAGCGGTGCCCAGAAGCGGTTGGTTTGGTCCTGGAGTTCCTGCACCTCCGCCCGAGCGAAGCTCGTCGAAAGCTCATGCGGATTGACCGGTTGCGGGAGCAGCTGCAGCCCAGCGGGGAGTTCTGTGGCAGCTCGCAGGTGGTTCATGCCGGGAATGCTTGCTTTACCATGATCGGTTGGCTTCACAATATGCTGGACAAGGGCGGCCTGGAAATTTTTGACAAAGCTCCTCATTGGATTGGCAAGAAGCTACTCAAGGGCTTGGACTTGCCACCAAAGCAGCTGGGCCGCGGTATGTCAGAGATCTTGTCGTTGGGCACGAAGGAGCTGGAGAATCGACTCAAGGAGCAAGAGCATCAACTGCACGAGGTGGAGCATCAACTGCAGGAGGTGGAGGATGATCGACATGGCATGAAAAGTCTCAAACTTGTTGTGCCACAGAGGTTCCATTGCCGCTTGTTGAGCTTGAAGAAAGCCTGTCCCACCGTGGAGCTCCAGATTCCGAAGGCTTGCGTGGGCAGCGATGGAGCGACTGCGCTCAAGGTGATCGGCGTTGGCGTGAAGGAAGATGCAGAGAAGAACTTGGCAGCCCACCTCCCTGCCAAGCATGTTGTCAAAGTTGAAGACGAGTGGGTTTGTTGCCATTGCCGAGGCTTAAAGAAGAGTGACTTTCATGGAAAAGGTGTCATCAACGCCCAGCACGTGAAGGACAAGCATTTGTCAGTCGGCCAGAAGGTTACCGTATTGGATGCCAGTGGCCATGGCAGTGTCACAGTTCTGAAGAAAGCGATCCGATCAGAAAGAAACAATCAGATTGGATTCTTGGATGATGGAACGCAGGTGGAGATCATGGGCCACTGGTTGGAGTGCCGCTGGGCCATACGTCCATCCCATGGCTATAGTCCATCCCAGCTTGGCTTCATTCCAGCCCAGAGCATCGAGAAAGATGAACATGTCAGCCTACAAGGCCCTGTGAAGGAGTGTTTTGCTGCCCTCGCCATGTTTCAGGAGGAACTGGGCATGGAAATTGACGCCTTTTCTTTAGGCGGAGAGCCGGTAAAGCTTCAGCCGCAGCCAAGGCGAAAGCCAAAGCTCAAAAAATAACCCTATAATTATTGCAAGGCGCCAGCCTTGCAGATAGGAACTAATGCCCGGGCAGCTCCAAGAGCAGCCCATCAGAGATCGAGATTCTTTTTTAAACGCAGTTCTCCTTTTTCGAGTGCACCTTGTTGTCCTCCTCCTGGTGCCAGAGGCTGAAAAGATCACCATCCACATCCGTCCACCAAAGAGTCACGAAGGCGGCCTTCATCCCAAGCTTCGCTTGAGCTTCTTCCCAAAACATCCAAAGCCAAGGAGCCACAAAGCTGGGGTTTGGATGCAGCCTGGCAGCACATGCTCGGCACCGGTGGGAGAACCAATCGAACACCAATGCAGCGAGGCTAGGCCGCTCGTTTTTGTCGGCCCTCTTTTGGATCCGTGGTGAAGTTCCACGGTTTAAGTTTAACACCAACCAAATTTCTAGTTGACAGAGAGGATTGAGAGGATTCCTTTGTGCCTATTTAGTTCTCAAACTGGTTTGCGCGGATGAATGATTCTCCAAGATTCTCCAAGTCTTCCCGCTCAAACGGTTGGATGAGCAGTGGGACTACGTGGTCAACCATTTTTTGATTTTGTCGGAGAAAGTACGAGAAACCGCCCTTAGGCCACTGGACTCGCGACCTGGTTCAATGACTTTCATTGAGAAAGTGCAAAATCAATGTAGCCTGCTCATGCCTCATCCCTGACAGGGCGAGCAAGTTCCTTTCTGGTGGTTTAGCTTCGGGTCAATGGTCCTGTATTTACATGTTTACGTTGGAAGTGACGTCGGTCGGATCGTCGGCTAGCGAGGTGCCAGAGCCTCTCATGAAGGAGGCCATCCCGGCGAGAGAGCGCGGAACCAGATGCATGGGCTTAGCTGGGTGACACAAATCCGGTTGTAGAGACTGAGCACCCTATCATGGTGTGGACCCAAGACCTCATCAGAAAGATCAGAAAGTCCTTTCCACCACATGTTTCCCTGAATTTGGAATGGGGAACGAGCGGGATGGATGGATGCAATGATGGATACATTTACCCCATGTACGACCCATAGAATGGCGCCACTCTTCTCATGGTCTGGACACCGACACGAGCTGCGCCAGGCTTACATCATGAGACCCGAGCTGTCGCCCATGGTGGGCTGACCGCTCAGGTGGCAGGAGTCGGACCAAAGGTCGAGAAGATAGAGCAAATGGAAACAGGATAGAGCAATAGAACAAAGAAAGAGATCCGGAGATAACCCGGAGATACATGGAATATCATGGAATTTTGGGCTGATTGCTTGTTGAAAACGGAAGATTGCTTGACTGTTGTGCAGTTCTTTTGTCCAATAATGAATTTGTTTCTCGTAGTGTTAGGATGTGTTCTTTAGTTGATGTCATGAATGAGACTGCCTATGCCGCTCCTTTGTGGTTCCTCTTGATGGGGGAGAGACACCGGGTGATCCCGGAACGTCCGGTCCCGGTGCGGCACCAGGTGCCCCAGAAGTGGGCCCTTCCAATCCACCCTCATCCATCTAAGACGTCCTGAACAGGTACCTATTTGGAGCCCTAATTAGAATACCTATTAGATTCGAATCAAAAAGGGGTATGACGGGTATGACATTCTTTGTACCATTCCCAGACGATCCACCGTCGACCTACATTCACCACCCCTTCGGCATGTCATGTGCTGCCGCTCTTGGTGACCGAGGCTGGGAGACTGGACGCCAGTCGGAGCCTGCCTTCATGGACGGGATGGGTGAGTGAACCTTCCCCTCCCCTCGAGCATATCGCCGAGTGAGACGGACTGGTAGGCTAGAACCCGTACCCAGACACGACTAATGGGACTGCCATATATGCCGATCAGTTGGGGTGGTTTGAGGGGTTAATGTAGAAGGCTTGGAGATGCCGACCTGGCATCATCAGCATCCACTCCCTGACACGACAATTGGGACTGCCATATATGCCGATCAATTCAGATGGTGCCACGTCAATGGGGCGGCATATCTTCCAGTCCGGAGTGTGGACTGTGACTGGCGAGATGGCACCTGGCTATGCAGTCCCATTGCCTGCAAGGGCCCGTATGGCGGCCATCGCCCCCCGCGGACTCGTCCGGTTTTCCAGACTGGTCCGCAGACGTCCTTCTTGCAGGTTTAATCATTGTCTTTGATTTGTCCTTGCACGGCACTGGCCAAGCAGGTCAGCACGAGTGAGGGAGGCCTCCAGCAAGACCTCCAGCCTATATATCCTATATCATTTCATGCATCTATTTACTTCGAGGCATCCGCGGATGTTGACTCTGCTGGAGCAAGGGCCCGGAACAATGTTGAGACTATGAAGTGAACGACGGTCCAACCGTCCATGCTTTCCCATCCTTGGCTGTAGCAGACGATAAGATGGATCATACTAAGCTATGCACCTTCTGCAGAGTTCATGAAACATATGAAACACTCGCGCAGGACATGAACCTCCACTCCACCAGGGGCAACTCGACACCCGAAGCTCGGCTTTTCTGCGGCAACTTGGGAGAGTGGCCGCCATGAGCGGTGCAGAACACTTGAGTGAGTAAAGAAGAAGCCAGACACTGTTATTGGCTATTTATTCCTCCCAAAAGGCAACCTCATAGCACACGGGTGTTTCATTTTCTCACTCATTGTCTTCCAAGTTGATTGAAGCTTCAAGCACCTGGTGTGTTGGCTTCCGAGTTCACCGCCGCTGATCATATTCCTTCCGCCCGGACTGCATGACTGCTGGGGTCAAGCTGCAAGACTCCAAAACCAGCCATGGAGTCTATTGCGTTTGGGGGTCCATTGTGGTAGAGCCATGTAAACCATCATGCGACCCCACCAGATGATTCGAGATTGAGTACTGCGCAAAGCAGCGCAGCGGATGGATGAAGATTGTAGAAACTCGGTGAAACAGTTGGTGAAACATGTGTATCTTGAGCACCTCCGGACTTTCCCTGCTCCCCTCCATGTCCCGTCCTCGTGTCCGAAGCGTGGGTCCGCGAGTCCGCGAGGTTTGGTTCGCGACCGTCCGCGAGGTCCCGCCGTGGCGGGCGGGTGGTGTGGTCAAGTCGCCAGGAAGAGGGGAAAATGATGGATTTTCTATGGAGAGAGGGGGTTTCAACATTCTTCGCCAAAGCCAATGCCAACAAATGGTTCAGGTGTTGCTTTTGTGGACCAGGCTGCCTCGACCACCAAAAAAAAGGCCACAACGTGTAGTGGAGGTAAAGGAATGTTAACTTGAAGGTGCTTGAATCATGTCCTTCGGATCCGCCATTGTTTTTGTCAGCCAAGCTCTTCGACGACTTCGTCCGCCTTTCTCGTACTTGACTAGCGAAACACCCCGACCCTTGTGATGGACCAAGCTGAGACATGGATCATTTTGGCCACTTCATCCTACTGCTTCGCTTCGGTGGGCATGCTCTTGTTCAAGAAGCTGGCCATTGACTTCCCCCTGAAATGCTGCTTCCCCTTGGAGTGCAGCTCTTCTTTGCTGCCTGCTTGGGGCCGAATCGGCTTCCCATACGTTCATGTGGGATCCGTGCCGACTGTCGCACCCTCCGCTACCCTCCGCTACCGGTCGTACCCTTCGACTGTGCTCCGCAGACGTCCATGCTGGCCCCGATGACTGCTCCGTGCCGACGGTGCTCCGCAACGCTTCGCCATTGATGACCTTGGTCTGACCAACGCGACTCTACCCTGAAACCTTACAGATCAGCAAGTACATGCTTGGGCCCATTTGTTTGATGATTGCTGGTGATCATGAATGATCATAGATTGAACATGACCGGACCAATCTCAAGCGACAATGTGTTCATATTTCCCCACCTGCGAGGCACTGCGAGGTGACGGTCTTTATATAGGTTTAACAATAAGCGCTATGCGCCAGGTGAGTCTGGGCGCGCATGGGCCTGCACAGCATCGAGGGAGCGAGGGCAGTCTGGGCACGCACGGACCTGCACACCATAGAGAGCGCCAGCTACCTGCACATCACAGAGGGCGCCAGTGAGAATGCCAGAAGATATGCCAGAAAGGATTTCAGAAGATATGCCAGATAGAATCCCGGAAGATATGCCAGATAGAATGCGAGAAAGGAAAGGATGTCAGAAGATATGCCAGATAGAAAGCTGGGAAATATGTCAGATAGAATGCCGGTAAGGATGTCAGAAGATATACCAGATGAAACCCACAGAATATGCCAGATAGAATGACATGCGCATATCGTAGGCACATGGCCAGATTGCGTTGCGCAGCCAGAGGGTGTCACAACTGAGCAGTGCAAGATGCAACTAAAAAGTGCCAATCTTCACCTCTTGCGAAGAAGTGTATTTATATTGTAATGTATTATCTTGTTTTCATTGTAGTTGGTCGTGAGTCAGCAGCTGAATTTCTTGCAGTGGCCGCGCTGCAACAGTGTTGAGAACCTTCCTAAAGTGCACATGGCGGGAAATTGTTCAACACATTGCAAACCAATGATTGATTCTAACCCAAGATAGGTTGCACCATGTTGCACCCTTGTCACATGGCTGGCGCTAAGGAAAAGGTGGAGGAACAAACGCATTCAACCTCCGGAAGCTGGATTTCCCGAAAGGACTACCACCTGACCACCCCTTTTGAACCAGATGCCGAGGGTGAGGATCACTCGAAACAATAGAAAACTTAAAAGTGAAGGAAACTATACGACTTGGGGCAATGACCGGGATAGCACCAAACATCTTCGAAGAAACATGGGCCTGTCCGCGCACGGACCACGAAGGTGGTCAGCGACTTTGACACCTTCCTGGTGGGCAGCCACGGGATGGAATACTCTCCGCTTCCTCCGGAGCAGAAGGAGCGGTGGATGAGACTCACGGGTTGCACCCTGAAATGCCCCGAGTTCGGACGGTGTGTTTGGGAGGAAGGCCAAATCCTGAACATTCCTCCCGTTAAGCATCTTAGGAGTGTTGCGTTCTATGCCATGTGGTTTTGCATGGTTTTGCTATTATTTTTGCAGATGCGTTCTGTTTGTTTCCATCACTTGCCTAGCAATCCCACTTGTACCTGGTAAGAAAGGAAGTCACTGCCCAGTAGCCCGGAACTTGGGACATCAAATGAAATTAGGACATTTTGTAAAGCCACCAGCTACAATTTACATCATTTTACCTACCATGTTTGGACATCATTTTATGTGTTGTTTTGTCAAAGAGTATAAGTGTAAAACATCAACATTGGAGCGGGAGCGGGAGAGGGAGAGAGAGTTCATCACAAGGAGCTGATGCAGTGGTGCTTAGACCACACGGCGGACATCATCGGAATGCCTCAACGAAAAGCCTGGACAGCTCGCTGGCTTGAGGCGGTATCCGCGCGTTTCTATCCGCGCGTCTTCATCACGCGGAACGCTGTCTGCTGGGCGTATTATTGTGTTTCCGGAGGTTGATTAAAGTGAAGAGCGTTTCACTCCAGTAGACAGAGCGTGAAACTGCATGTGTCTGTCAGATTCTTGGATGGCTGGTTCAGCGCAACGCTTTTGTCGGATCAGACTTGGTTGCCAGAGACTGGTGGATGTTTCTCCTCTCACATTCGGCCCCATCCAGGTTTTGAAGGAGGAAGCCAGCACCAAAGGCGGAGCTTGACGGTGAACCCGGCGCACCAGCGCTGGAGGTCTTGATCGGTACGACATGCCCCCGCAAAAAATGAATTTGTTGCACCATTTTGGAGACGCAAAAGACTTTCCAATTGAGGGCCCGGATTCTGAGGGCAGATCCTCTCTACACCCTCCAAAGCCCCCTAATTATATACCGGATCTTCGTTTGTGCATAGCAAGTAGATTAGTTCATGCCCAATGAAATTCCTTCCTTGCTTGGACCTATCCCAGACACTCCATGTAGCAGGACTAAATACATACATTTACCATCATTTACCATAATTGTCTTAATGTGTGACCCGCTATTCCAGTCCCATGGAGAGTCTGGGCCAATGATCATTTGCTTCACCTAACGCAACCCGGTGATTTTCCCACCACCTCCTTGAGCCTCATCCCGGTGAGGCTCATATGGTGGTTTCCGTCGTCTCCTCTTCCCACCTTCGGTCCCGGCGATCCCCGCCCTCGGCCCGGCCGCGCGGTCGCGCTCGAAGCGCTAGGGAAGACGGTGGAGATCCCCAAGTTGGGCTTCGGCGATCCCACCTCGGTGAGGCTCATCGGAGAGGTCCGGTGTGGTCACCGTCGTTGGAGCGTCGGCTTTCTGTCGTGAGAGGGAGAGGGAGGAGGAGGTGTGGCGATTCTTTTTGGGAGAGGAGTTTGGTACACGTCTGGAAGGTGTTCCGGTCAAGAAATCGATAGCTGGTTTTGACACTTCAGCATCCAGGCATCTCTTGAATGCGTGTTGAGGTGTGTATTGGCACAAGGCTTTAAGATTGCAGAAGAACATCATCTATAGATGGGTGTGGAGTGGAATAGGGTGATCGCCCACACTAAGAGGTTGATATTTAGCCCTTGATGGTCCTTTATCACCCCTATTAATACCAACCCTTGGGGAGACCTCCTCAAAGCCGGAGACTCAGGGGAAAGCAGCAGAACCTGCTGGAGCCTCCAATAGGTCTTGAACAATTTAATGGACATGGACGAACATTAAATGCATTCGTTTCTTGTGCTTGTGGTTTTGACTTCTTCTTCACCAGCTGTTTCTTTTGGGCAAGGACCATAAAAAGGCCCTTTGTTCCACATGGATGGCTTGAAAGGCCCTAGGCATTGAGGAGGGGTGTATTTAGATCACCGGATCGATGGATGTGTGCTTTGGACATCCTGACATCGAATCTTGCAGGGCGGGGCGCTATGAATCAAGTGCATTCAAGCTTGCAAATATGATATGCACTAAGCGCAATCTTTGCTGCTGATACAGCCCAGCTTGTATAGATCTCAAGTTTAGCAATATAAATAGCCATTTGGCCACTTATTCGGATTTCAGACTCCATGGCAGCCTGGCACCATTGCCGCATGGGTACCATTACGAGCCCGGTTTCTCGGAATTTGAGCACCAACGTCTCAGCACATCGGCCCCCTTTCAGCGTCACAGGTGGTTCAGGTGACCTCCTCCTGCGGGGCCATCCGACATGGAGCGGAATGCTTCAACTTCTATTTTCCACAGGCAGGGGCTGGTGAATGAACACCCTGAAGTTTGTCCGTGCCGGGCTGTGCGGTTGTTTTTAGTGGGTTTCGGAGTGTGCGGTGGGGTGGTTTGCGGCCTCTCAAGTCCAACTTTGGGGGTTTTGGCACATTAGAGAGGCCTCAAGGGTCAACATATAGCTATATTCTCACTCCAACAATTAGATGCAGATGCAGCAGAAAGGCTGAGCAATGTCAGGATTGCATGTTGATCCACCGGTGGTCAGGGGTGGGCTAACCCTTTTTGAAAGCCTGAAGGCAGATGGGATGATCTAGCGTGGCTACATTATATACCCTAAAGACTCCGGGCCCGAACCAACACATAGTTTGGTTCGGGCCCGGACCCCTGCCAAGGGGTCAGGTCCGACCCCTGCCATGGAGAGCCCGGAATGGAGCCGACCCTTGAAGCTGTATCTTGGCCCGGCAACCAAGGTGACCATGACGGAGGGGCTGCCTGCGGTGGCCACAAACCACACCTCTTAGGGTCATTTAGGGTCCCAAAACAGCCCTGGTACTTGACGCTCTTGTTGCAATATGTTGCAATGTACTGCCCTGGTCGTAGATCCTGCCACAGGAATTGGACGATGACTTTATGGTTGTTTGGGACGGCTTCGTGGTAGAAGCCTGAGACCGCGCCGTGTTGCTGAAACGTCGATGGCAACGAAAGGGAAGCAAGAAGAAGTTGGCCAGAGTCAAAGCGGCCTCCGTCTTTATGAAGGTTTGCTTACAAATTGCGGACATACCTATAACTCATAACCTTTTCTTGGGCCTAACGAGGTTCTAGGTATATGATGGTGTATGCGCTGATAGTTGAGTGAAAGTGGGCCTGCGCCGTCTCCCACAGCGGTTCGCTGGATCTCCAGCGGTCGGGCGCACCGGTGGGCCGAGGATCCGCCTTGGAGGCAACTCAAAGAGCCGGAGCTGCGGAAGTTCCTCAAGGCGCAGAAAGAATGTTTTAAGATGGTTTTTAATGGTTTTAAACGTCAACTGGCGCCATTCAGGGTCAGAGTTTGGGGCCTGGAAAAGATCGAGTGATCACTGGCCTTCAGATCTGGAGGCATGTTTCTGGAGGCTGTTGAGCTGCAGAGTCGCCATTTTGCCACACTGGTGGAGCTGAACGGCAAGAAAAATGATGCTCCTGTGCCAGGAGCGTGCACGGGAGGGCTACTGCTTTCCATTGAATCCAGTGTGGCCAGTCGCTTGGACAACAAGCTGGTGGGGAAGTCGCACAATTTTGGTCGCCTGAGCAACAGTCAAGCGGGTCGGGAGGACATGGGACGCGAAAAACAATGGTGCATCGACCTAAGGGGTCTCTAGATTGGGGGAACCAGTAACTGTCGATCCTTAGGTCCCCTTGCGGGATGTTGTCCCTTTTTTAGTGGCAAGAAGGCCCGTGATGAACCGAATCTCTGTCAAGTGAATCTTAGCTCTCCTTGCAATTTCGCAGGCCATCTCTACCAGTTCGGCACTCTGACAACCCCAAGTTGCAAGACCTTACATGGCCAAGAAATGGGATTCCATGATTGGAAAAGAAAAGGAGCCTGACTAAGGCTTAGGTAAGTGGCTTGCCTTGTTTCAATTCCGGATTGCATGCTGAATGAAGCAGCACCTAAAACTTAAATCACTCTTGTCCCATCACCATCAACTCTAAAGGTTCTGGATTGATTCAAGTTTTTGTCCTTCAGCCAAGAACCAGTACGTTCCTTTTATCCTTTCAGGCCCGAGCCCCACCTCCTCAATGCACAATCCGACCAGCGAAATCGCCATCGCGCTGAGATCCGCGACAAGGGCTGGTACGAGGCGCGTGCGGACCGGAGGGGCATGATTGTTGGATGGGCAGCACAGGGGCGTGGGTCATTACAGTAGTTTTAAGCTAAGTATACAATCCTTTCCCTCAGGCCAAGGCCCTCAGGTTTCTTTGTACTTCCTCATAGATTTTGAGGTCACCATCCGCCTGTCATCCCATTCGCTCGTTGGCTTCGCCGGCTGAAACGCTGTTTTCTCCGCCTCCCGACAGAGGTTGAAGAACCCTATAGATCATCCCAGAGGCACCCCAGGTGACCATCATGAGGATTTTCCTGTGTGCCCATGCCGTGCCGTCAGCGTTCCACGTGTTCCGTGCGTCACCCTTGTTTCACGGCGTGTGGTATTCGTGACGGGTCGGTCCCGGTCACCTCCCCTCGCTATCTGCGGTCGCCGAGAAGCTCAGCTCCAGGTCCTGGAAACCTTGCGGAAAGGCCCCGAGCAGCCTGAGCTGCGTGAGCTGAATCAGCGATGCCTGGAAGGACCGGAATACCGGAGCTGTCCGGAAGAGCAGTCGTGTTGGCTGTTGAGAACTCATGTCACCAGAGGTCACCTGTTAGCAGTGTGTTCTTGAACGGTTTGTTTGTGTCTCCACCGTGTGATTGGTTGATGTTTGTTTTAGTATGGATTTGGTGCATGGTTTGTATTGTTCAATATATATTAAAACGTTCTGTTCCCGGTGGCCGGAGTCACCTTCAGAGTCCATCAGACGCATGAAACGTCGATGCAGACGTCGGCTTGGAACGGATGCAGAATCGAGTGTAACCGGGCAATCAACATGAATCAAAACTTATGTAATTACTAATAGCTTCTTGTTACTACTAGTAAGGCACTTGTTACTAGTAGCGATGCACTTGTTCCTAATAGCTAACTGTTTTTTTTGGCAATTTCGGAAGAGGCACGTTCAACAGCTTGCGCACATGTTTCCACTCACTCCCATACAAAAAGACCTCTTGACCTTTGATTAGTAACAGGGGGCTTTATTCATCAGGGCGGGAACTTTGCTAAGGGGGGGTGATTATTCAGAGGTCAGCATTACAGTGGAAGCGGTTGGGGCGAAACGCTAGCTGCTTGTCACGTGGCACACGCGGCCAGGGTGGTTCACCAAGGAGGCCTGGACACGGTAGCTTTGAAGTTCATCCCTTTCAAACTGTTGGGATTGCTGTTCTATTCCCCCCCATGTGTATCTCCATGATTTGCACTTTTTACCAACCTCCTACAAGCCTTGATCTTGCAAAGCTTAGTTAATCGTTAACGTTAACTTTAATATATTGATGCTACTGCTTCGCGTTGGATTACTTTGCAGGGTTGTCAGGGTTGTGGTTAACTTTTGAACATGTTGACTGCATTTCACTTCAGTCGCTCCTATTTTCAGACTCATGCAGCATCCGATTGTTTTGTTCAGACTTGTGTCCCTTGAGTGAGTGAGTGAGTGAGTGTGCTTTCTCTAGTCCAAATCCCCTTAACACTGCCTTTACCTGAACATGGGTCCAGCATGGGACTCCAGCAGGAGTCAACAAATGCCAACCACTGAGCAATGCTGGGACATCAACACCATTCAACACCGCCGTCTCGCATACGTTTGACCAATGTCCTGTGCCAAACCAAATATGCTGTCATGTCTTCGTTCTATCTCTAGTGTTTCTTCGGATGATTCCAGTTACTGAAGATACTGAGTGAGTGAGTGAGTGAGTGAGTGGGGCATTTCGCTCCATCATCTCAAGGTTTCACCAGGACTTTGGTGCGTGCAGATCATCCCCACGTGTCACGTCTTGCAAATGTGTTTGTAGCTCAGATGTGTCCCAGCTTCACCGGTCATCCAGTCATCCACACACGATACGATGACGTGCACGGGGGCCGCGACCAGTCAGCCACGGCGGTGGTTCGACGACTCCCCACTGGTCGTCGGGGACTGACCTCTTTGGGATCGGGACATGGTCGTGTGGATCACTACCCCCTTTGCAGTGCTTGACCCCCCCCCCCCCGGAGAGGGTAAGGTAGTCGTGATGTGTGCGGTGTTCTTTAGGTTTTTGAGTATGTGTTGGGTCGAACGGTCGAACCACGAGGAGGAAGTTCTGCTACGAGCACTCTCAGCACCCAAAAAATTTTCCAAGGCTCCCCACCTACGGCTCCGGCGAGGCCTTGGCGCGGATCGACGAGATCCACGGCGACTTCCCCGAATGCACCTGGGTCGCGATCGCCAGGAGCCGGGTGGTACGGTTGGACCGTTGGGCTGTGCAGCTCGCTCGGAGATCAGCTGGGATTTGGGACTTCGGAAGGGGGAACACACTCCCCGGAAGAGTCTGGCATGGCGCGTTTGAAGGATGACCAGCTTGAAGATAGACGACCCAAACAGGTGGTTTCGACTTCCAGTGATTCTTCCAGGGATGATGGGGGATTTAGTTCCCAGGATCATCCTCTGTGTTTGTCCAGCACCGATCCGAAGCTCTCCAGGTGGGACAGAACCAAAACCACCGAACCAACCGATGCTCATGCGTCGTGAACCGCGGGATGACTCATGTAGAATCTGGATGAAGAACCCCCTCCCACATGAAGATGCATTCTTAAATCCCATCTGGACGGGCCAAGAAAAATCATTCCACATGATCATTGTCTCCCGATATTGGAAGGTTTGCAGCATGTGTTGATCTTCCTTTCGTTGTAGCCTATAGCGGTTTTGTGGGTAATTTTGGGCCACTCTGCAGATGTGGTACTCTCCCAAAACTATCCTGACATGTGTTGATCATGTTCACAAGCTGATCTCCCTTCTTGAAAATCCTCCCTCACTACCAAGCCAAGCTTTTCCTTCATGATGCTTCCACCCAGTGGAACTACCCCGTCTTCAAAGTTATATAACTCCCACCCCCTCCATAACATATTGAAACCAGCAGCTGTAGCAAACCTTATGGGGAGCGTTCGCGATCCTGTGCCCGCATGCGATCGCATGCGCATGCATGCACCTAGGCTTCACCCAGTCCAAGATGAAGTTGGAGCCTGAGCCGGCTGGGATGAACACTTCTCCTTTGCAGTGGCTTTGAGGTCAAGGCCAAAAGACCTATCTCCTCTTGAACTCTTGTATATAATTAAATTAGCCTTTAGCAGTCATTGGACTGTGGCTCAAAACCTTGAAACCGAATTTGCATCAACAGGGCCACCCACATTTTTAGCTTGCACAGCTAATTAGTGTTGGAGAGATATGACAGCTGCCCATTTGCAGCCTCACATAGCTGACTGGTGTATGGTAGGGAAGACGGAAGAAGGGTAACTGGATCGGAATCTCATGACATCTCTATCAGTACCCTCCAAGAGCTCCTTCCTAGAGGCTTGCTGGCCCTTCCTTAGGTTCGCTCGCAAGTGGTGACCCCACTCCGAGCCGGGTCCTGGTCACACTCCGTTCGACCCCAAGAGATCACAGCCCCTGAGGCGGATGGCCTCCACCATCGCCAACATCCAGGACCAGTCAAGAACAGCGGAGTGGGGAGGTGCCAGACTGGGCCATGGAGGTGCCAGAACCCAAATCCTGCAGCTTAGCTTGTGCATGGATTCCATGAACAAGCCTGCCCTGCTGTAGGATTTGCATGTGATATGCACTTGTGCACTTCACATCATTTCACATCACTGGCAGTTGGCTTTGCAAAGCCAGACGTGTTTGGCTTTGATCTTTTTCAGTTTGAGATGGATCCTGCCATCGATGCACGCCTTACAAGGGCAGTTTCAGGCAGGGCTTGGCATGCTGATACGACTTGATACCACCCGAACGCATGGAATGGAACTACAACCATCGTTAGGCCTTCCTTGCCTAGCACTTATTTTATGCTCCCATCCATGTTGACCCACTAGTTTGGGCCACTAATGGCCACTAGATCCAACCTAGAGATTCAGAAATGCTTCGGCCCTGGCAATCGTGTTGAACATGCTGTATGTCCTTCAGCCATGAAAGGACGTCACTGGTGAGGAAATGGTGGACTTCGCAAATGAGGAGGCCCGTGCATGACCTTTTTGATCATCCACCTGGACAGGACAAGCATGTATTTTAAGCTACTTGCAGCAAGTAGGTAAGTAGGTCACAATTCATTCTGGGTTAGGTCACGGCACCCAGACTTCCCGGACGGAATCCACCGGGTGAAGCCCTGGCTCCCAAGACCTGATGGGGTGAGTACCTGGAGGAGGTGCCAGGTAGTTTAGTCTCCCGCAGCCATTTGCCAGCCACGTTTGCTCCTTGAGAAGAGACCTTGGTCAACAGCGGAACGTTGCAAATCTATTGAAATCGCACCATCTCGCACCTTGCCAAACATTCCATGTGTGGAATTCATGCCAATGACACAAGGTCAAGCACCTTTACAACCACCCCACTGATCCATCCCGAGATTCATTGAGTCACTCGGGTGGTGTCTTCTTCCAGGTCCGGAAGGTGGTGAAGGCCAGGTGGAAGAGGCCGTCGAGCGACACCGCGTCGACACCTGGTTTGTCCCCGTTCGGTCGACCGGGCGCTTCCACGGACCGGAAGCGAGCTGGGGGGGACAAGGGCGGGAACGCGAGCAGCGAAGACGATCTTCCTAACTTGGCACGTGGGATTTTCGTGGTTTTGGGGCATCTTTTTTGGGTGCTGGTGAGTTTGCGACGCGCGTGGAATTCATGTCAGGATTTATATACATGTTTGTTCTGGTGCGAGCAGGCGGAACAGGAATTCGAGGGAACATGGCATGAGCTCGTGGCGCTGTCGGAGGAGAGAGAGAGAGAGAGAGAGAGACGATGTTCAAAAAATGATGCGCTCTAGCTTTTGCGGTAGCTTTGTGTTTGCTTTTTTGGTGCGGGGTGCCAGAGGGACTGAGGAATTGTTGGGAAGACTGAACATGGATTGGAAGATGATCTTCATGGATTCATGGCTTTTGGGGACGGTACTTCCCGTGCAGGTGGTCTTCCAAGTTGCACATGTAACCGTTACAGGCTTTTCAGGGGTGAAACATCCTTTGTCAGACATCCTTTCAGAAACGACAGGCTATGCCAAGTTGGGCCAATGTCTAGATACACTGTTACACTTGAAAGCAATGTCTGAAAGCTTGGCTCACTCAGGGCAGTTGATCCAATTGATCCAAGAACTGAGGTGAAAGGTGTCCTTAGATGTGCTGCGCGACGGCGATAAGGGGGGAAGCTCAGCCCCATTCCACAGATGCCCTTCTGGCTTTCCTTGATGTCACTTGCTGCAGGGTCCGCAGCTCATTAATGTTGATGGCCCGGATGATGAAGAGCTTGCCGGAAGAGGATCATGCCGCTTGGCAGCTTGAAGTATCTTGAACTTGTGGATGGTCGGATTTAGCTGGTTGCGATCATGACATATAGCAAGCATTTCTTTATCATTGCTCGACTGCAAATGGCCTGGAGCTTCTAGATGTTGGCATTACTGTAACCAACCCCCCTGAGAGTCCAAGACGCTTTGTTTAAACGGTCGAAAGAGGTGACCCGAAAAAGGGACGTGACCTCGGACTTCGTGATGTGTGTACGGCGCTTGGTGCCGTGATGTCCGGTGAGGGCCCTTGGGTGCATGGAAAAGATCTGTTTTATTTCCCAATTGGATAGGAAGAACACTCACCTCCACCTTGAAGTCTCAAGAAGTCTCACCAACACACCCTGTGTTTTGAAAGCTTTGCCAATGGCATTGGGGGCCCAGAATCTCTGGCTTCGTGCACGGTGCGCACATTTGCTTCAATGGAGTTCATGGCCCCCGGCCCTGCGATCGGCAATCGGCCCTGGTCAATTGGAACTTGGGAGGCGTCCCACTGACAGAGCTTAGCTGCTTAGCCTTTTCGCTCGTTTGTCGATTTCACCGGATGGATGCGAATGCCAGTGACCGGTTGTGTTCGGTCCCCATCCGACTGGGTTGGAGACCAGGCACCTGGGCACCTGACCTTTCCCGCTGCACCAGTCAGGCCAAAGTGTTGGGCAATGAGACTTAGCAGGTGCAACCGGGGCGAACAGGGGCGAAAACCAACTCTTGCCAGATGTGAGCTGGTTGATTGGTCCGGTGGCGGGTGCTTCAGAACCTTGCGGCGGTTTGGTGAATTTTCCACACCACTCTGAGCCAGGTCGAGACATGCCATGACCATTAATTATGAAGGCTTTGTGCAGAAACCTAAGTCTTCGAACAATGTAGATCAATATAGTAAGTCACTGTCAATTGGCATGAACGCGAATTTGAGTTTGGGAGTCTGTAACTGCAACACCAGGTCATGCACATCAGGCAAGCATGGCAGTTCCTTCAGTGCTTCGAAGTGGTTGCATATTCGCCTTGGCAACACAGAAATGGTTTGAACATAACCTTGCAGGATAATCTAGGATTCCTGTGCTTCTAGCTCCCAACCTCTGTGTGCTGGCAGAAAAATTGACCAAAAACGATAAGACCTCAATTCTTTGATTCTTCCAGGCTATTGAACAAGTGAGTCCCATTCCTCGGTCACAATTCTTTCTATGTTTAATTACACTTTCTCACACAAGAAAAATGTGTTGGACAATAACAAATAAAGTCGTGCCTCTTTTGCGTCCGGTGCCCAGTGAAAAGTTGCCAGGTCGATGGCGCAGCCATGCGCAGCCCGTCGGACACGTCGAACGAATGGCAAGTGGCTCGGGCACAGAGATTTTTAACATGATTATATCATATGAAAATGATTAGCGCAAGAAATTGTTTATAATATCCCTACCCCCTTACCCATGGATTTGAGGGCGGGGCCTCAAAAATGCAACTTACATTTTCTGGGTCCCCCCTAGGGTCTTTTTTATTGTAAGTAACCCCCCCTTGACGTCCTTTTTTACGGGGGGGGGTCCTCGAAAATGTAACTTAGGACGTCCGAGGCCTGTACTTACATTTATCAACCCCCCCCACAAACCACTCACTTTGGCGGGGGGTTAATAAATGTAACTTCCTGAGATTAAAAGGGGGGGGAATGTAACTTACTGTGTAGACATCTCCGACCCCAGGGCGACAGCGCGGGACCCGTTCACGACCTTGTGGAGTTCCCTGTGTCTCCCCGGTGCACCACGGTGAGGGATGGCACCTCAACGGCGAACCGCGGGGAACCAACCGATAGCTAGAACATGTAATCAGAAACAGCTTGACAGTGAACAAAAGTGGTGTAAACTGCAGGAAGACATACCTGAACAGTGTTGACTTACATGTTTCTTTTTTCAGATGTAAGTTACAATTTTGGAAAAATGTAAGTTACATTTTTGAGGCCGGGGGGATGTCTGACCCACCTTGAGGCCTCAAAATTGTAAGTTACAATGATTTTTAGGTGATATAGTAATTGTAAGTTACATTTTGAGGTATCAAACCTAGGAAATTGTAACTTACAATTAGCTGACGCGCCCCCTAGGGAATTGGTAGGGATTTTGTAATAAGAAAAGCTTTTATAATAAGAAACTGTACTGTATATATATATATATCATATCAGTTTAACATCTTATGAAGATAATTGAAGCCGTTTACAGGAAAAGGATTCCTGGAACTTAGACTCTATTGAAACATTGATTGGACTTGGAGTCAGAGAGTTGTGACACACCGGAGTCGGAGTGACAAAGCCTGATTTTACAGTCATCAGATAGCATCAGCATCCACCAACTAGGCTCAGGGTGGGTAAAAGAACTTGAGTTCACCACGGCCTGGCTTTACGGAGAAACGTTTCTCCCGGCTTTGCTCGGCCCATGTCGGGTCTAGGGATCTAGTCCCAGCTGCCCAGCGTCAATGATGTTTGTTGCGGGGCGGCTCGAGCTCGCGACCCTTTCCCCCGCAGTGTGCGAAGAAAAATGGCCCCTCAGATCCCTCAGGTCCAGTCGAAGAAACCGTCCCCCAAACACGACCACCCGCGGTTTTGAAATCCATGTGCTACAGCTGCCACTCTCGGACGCTACAGTCAGCTGACTGTTGTAGGAGTTCATACCAAAAGTGGAGCCCAAAAACAGAGCCGCAGTATGCCGCAGTAATGCCAATTCCCAAGCGTCCTGTGAAACAGGCACCTTGATGATCTGCCGGCGTCCAACTGAAGACGCCCCAGCCAGATCTGACCTAACGCACGACACGGGCAAACCGTGGTTCGCAGTGGCAACCAGAGCCAGTCCGAATGACGGACCGAAGACTCTCCCAAGTCGGTCTGGCTGAGCCAAACAGCTTGGCTTTGGAAAGGGGTGTCCGATGTTTATATAGGGCCTAGGGGAGCAGTCTTCTTTTTTACGCTGCTGTATGGCTATGGTCACGCCAGTAGTCGCCCGCTCATGGAGAGGAAACAAATGGAAACAACTAAAAAGAGTTCCTCGACCTGAAAAAGCGAAAGCTCAGCCTTGCCGGCGCACGGTAGCCACCTGTGGAATTTCCTGCGCTGGACTGGTCTGATCGATGGTTGATCGACTGAGGGATGAGTTGCACCATATTCAACGGACAGGTCTTCGGAATCCCCAAGCTGTCACCCGCCTTTCCAGATGCATAGGCAGGTAGGCCCAGGTTGGCTTGGATTATTTTCTTGTGCTAGTTCTGCCACAGAGGTGTCACTGACCGTGGTTCGGTCAAGCACATCCAATGATTTTTGTCACTTTTGCTGAGGAGGTCATTGCTTTGTCAGAGGCTGTGAGAGTTCCACACATTAAAGAATAGAATGCCATACCTTTTGTGATGAGGTCAGGTCTTAGAAGCTTCCCTCCCTCGACCAGACTGCATTGACGCAAACTCCCAAGGGGTTTCAAGTGTTTGCTAGAAGAAGCGTGAGAAAAGTGCAGCTTTGGTGCAGCCCGGCCTTGGCAGTTTGCTCAGTCAAAGGTCTTCTCACCACATTCTGCCTACGTTTGGCAGAGAAACAGAGCCATTTGCTTGGCCGTGCCATTTCCATGATTGTTTCTTTTCTCCAAGTCTTGGATAACAGTACATAGGTGCGATGAATCATGTTGAGAATCTTAGAAGGTACCCATTGTGATTTGTGAAGCGTGACTGTACAGACACAATGTATATACAGTGGTTTCAGAGTAGATGGCACAACCCCCAAGATGTCTTTTAGATGGGGATCCATATAAACCACCTCTTGGGGTTTGTGCCATCTACTCTCAATCCACTATATATTAGTCTTTGTTAAATGTGTGTCTTTGTAGTGGCGTGCTTCAACAGAACAATTTGGCAGCAACTTCCTCAGATTGTAGATTCAGTCTTGATTGACATGCGGACATGCGCTTTTTTGGGGTATATAAGTCAGTCAAGGTGCTATAGTCAGTAGCATAGAAGCTACTAGAAACAAGGGCATCGCTGCTAGTATCAAGGGCATAACTACTAGTCTTGAAATTTCCATATCCGAATCCAACGAGGCGCCAGCCTCTCATCTCCCAGTGAGGTTCCAGCTGCGGTGGTCACACACCCCTCCCGCACCTAGAAGCATTGTCAAACATCTCATCGAATTCATTCTACATCCAAGGTTCATTGGTCCCCAAATCGGGCGGCTCTCACGCTTCAAGCCACAGGGCTACGGGGAAACGATCTCCGTTTCCCCGAGGTACCTGGCCTGGTCTTGTCGTGTTTGTGGCCACTGCTGCAAAACGCCGTGCGGGGGCTCGGATAGATGGATGGTTCGAAGCGTAACGCCGCCCCATCAAGGCATCTTGGGGTGCCAGTGCCATCAAACCTCTGACACCACGTGAGGTTTCAGTGTATAGACTTTTTGGGGGTGGGGGACGGGTCTGTTCGAGACATGTGGCGAGGTGTCTCAAGACGACTGAGGAGAGATCAGGCACCCACTTTGCCAGTCTTATGAACATCCCATGTTGCAAGGGACAACCCATCACAAGACGACTTGGGAAACTAATTAATTGTCAAGCTAAGATTCATTGCGTTGAAGTAGGTGGAATATGACACGTTGGACTCCTGTGGGACATGCATAGATTTCATTTGTTTAGGGAAGCATCCATTAAGAAATAACAAACTGCGGATGCCGTGGATTGAGAATCTCGCATTTGGTGTCTACTGCATGCATGCACTCGTACCTTAGGCCTCAGGGTTGAAGTGACGCTTCATAGTGGATGTGGTGTTTGTTGTTTTTGTAAGTTGCTGCAGGATGGCTATGGCCACTTGGCCTTTTGTAGGAATCCAATGTATCGGATGGCGCAGATGACAAGTATAAAGACCTTAATATATGTCATAGATGTGAAACAAAAGTTAATTCAAAACATGTTTGCAAATGTCGTTCATCATGCGGGTGCTATTGGCTCGATTATGACGACTATGCCCGACATTAGGAGTGTATTCAACGAACTCGATGTCTATTCGTTCCTTATTTGGCACGACATGGCTGGATCGATTGCCACGTCCTTTGGCCGGACATCCTCTGACTCCTCATCGAGCGACTCCGTTGAAGAGAGGCAGACCGTTGAAGTGCAGGAGAAGGCCACGACCAACACGCTGTGCAGTGTGCCATCACCAAAGAGAGGTTTCTAGGTTTCTAGGAGTCAAGTTGCTACCCGACAGGAAATACGAGACACCTCACACACAGAACGCTAAGACTTTATGACATGACTGACATGATGTTGCAACAATAGTGCCCGGGCAAAATATCGATATACTGTATTATTAAGTTGTAAAGGCAGTAACTGACTAACACAATAAGTAACAGGGCAGAATAGTATGTCAGTTGTAATATTAAGTTCTAATTACTTGAATAATTTTCAAGTTATTACTGATTTCAAAGGCTCAGCCGAATTGTTCAGCATCTCCGCCACACATACTGTGTGGCCCGAAAGCGCCACACAGCTCAGGCGGTGGCGACCTACGTGGCGCGCATGGAGGTCTTGACGCCCGACGTAGTGAGAGTCACCAGGGCGTACAACGCCTTTCGCGGCTGTGGGAAGGCACTGCGGCCTCAAAATCATGAAGATTTGCACAAGGACGTTCCTTAAGGCTCCAGCCATATCTTCAGGTGGTTCGACCGCCCTGGCACCCATTCGAAACGGAGGTAGGCCAGGAGCCCTACTAAGGGTTAGAAAGACGGGTTTATGAAGCTCGTGGATCCGTGCGATTTGGTCCAAACCCTCCATCCGGGAGGTTTGTAGATGTGGTTTGCACTAGATTGAGGATGTTTGAGGCTTGTATATTATTTGAGTGCGCCAGACTCATGGACGGTTTTTGCTGGTTGCTTTGCTTAAAAAAGCATGTTTCCATGTTTGCCATGTGGTGTAGTTGTTTTGCAGGACAGCTTCGTGCGCGAGCGGATCTCAAGTTTTTGGTCCCATTCATGGCACGGTCCATGCTGGAGGAAAATCCTGTCGCTCTTCATGCGCTACAATGGGCTGGCAGCGGTCTTGATCGGTTGCTTGATCAGCGACCTTTGTGCGGTGCTCGATCGACGCGAAGTCTGACAAAATCGACCCATGAAGGGCTTTGGGGTCTCAAATCCCTATCCATGTATGCAATATATGCCTACATTGGGGTGGTTTTGGGGGTCAATGTAGGCATATATGGCATACATGGAGTGTCTGGGTATAGAATGACCAAGGGCCGTTGGGAGCGTTGGGGTCACAGAACTCCATCGGATTCGACCAACCTCCAGTGTGCCAAGGGCGTGGCTGGATTGCAGTGCAGGGTTTGGACCCAGATCGATCATCCAGGTAGAAGCTAGTTCCTTTTTGTGTGTGAGTGTCGTGTTTTGGGGTACATGAGTGATCATGAGTGTGTGTGTTTGGTGTTGTTTTTTACTTTGGTTTTGTATTTTTTCTATTTTTTGGCATGGCTGGGTTGCGGAGAGTTGTGTCGAATTATGCCATACCCCAGACTTGCCTAAGGATGCAGTTCTGCCTCAGAATGTGCCTGGCACGAATGAGGGGGGTGCCAGGATTCGTCGCTGCCTTTGTGATGATGGCACTCTTCAGCTGTGGGTTTCTGCCTGGCATCGTCCGATTCTGGAACTTTCCGAACATGCAGTGGTCTACTTGGTGCCTTGCGAGTGGCTTTTTCGCAGCGCTGCTGACCTTTTTCCTTTGGCGACCACAGCAGCCAGTGTTCCTGGACAAGATTTGTATCAACGAGCAAGAGAATGAGCAGAAATGCGAGAATATTTTTAGCCTTGCTGGGATACTGAAAAGGTCAGACGAAGCATCGTTTTGATCAACAGATTTTTATGGCGCACCTGCGGCAGCCTCAGAAAATGTGTCCCCTTGAATTGTGAATATTGATGAAATTGGACCTGCATCCTTTATTGTTGGGGCATAATAGCGGTCGCACTGTTGGGGCATGCTAACCTGATCAGTTCTGTTGACCTCGGCTCCCAGGAAATGTTGGTACTTTGGGGATTCCTCGTGGTGCGATCGGCTTTGGTGTGTTTTTGAGTTGTCCGCCTTCTTGAAGAGCAAGACAGCCAGCGATCAAGTGTTACTCATCAGGCCAACATTTCTGGGACCATGTTCCATTGTGCTGTTCGTGGGCAACTTTTTGGTGCTGCTGCTCAACGACAACCACAGGCCATTTTGCATTCTTCCACTGTTGTTGGGAACCTTGGTTCTTACCCTACTTCTTACCCTGTTTTGCTCTGTTGGAAATTCCCCCCAAACCGCATTTGTTCAATATGCCTCACCTGTCTCGAAACCAGTGGAAGCTAGGCTTCCCGTCACGACTGTGGCGACCACTGCGATGGCCAAAAACTGGGAGGAGACAGGCTTCCCGCTGGCATTGACCATTCCTGTTTTTGGCACCCTTTTGATCGCGTGATCGTGGGTGGCAGCCAGTGATCGTGGGAGCCTGGATCGCGCCTACTTCCGCGCCGTGGGACAGGGTTGATGTTCCCTTCTTGGGGGTGGAAATAGAAGATGGTGTATATATATATATAGGACAAACCATGATACCGTACACTCTCTGGAACTGGAAGTGGAGTTCACCCCCTGTTCGCTATTCGGCAAAGGGTCACTTCCAGTTTTCGGGTCCATGCAGCCTACCTCAGCGTCGAGCATGGGGCCCGGCAGGAACCTTGAAACGGAAGCTGCGTCACCTCAGCGTCGATGAGACCAAGTGCGCATGCTGTGACCATGGGCACGTCATTGATGGACATAAGGTGATGTGTGACCGGCAGATCGTCAAGGAATGTGTGTGCATTTGGTTCGGCAGCGAGGAGGCCTTTGAGGAACTCATACGCTCGGAGGTATTGGATGCTTTGTCGGCTGGATTGCAGAACGGCGTTTTCACCCGCAGCTGGAGTCTTTGCGTGACGCGGAGAATCCCTGAGTCCCGTAGTCCCCAACCCGGGAGATGGAGTTCCACCATCAAAAGTTCCAGGGCCAGGGAGGAAGACCATCAGGTTTTCCATTTTTTCCCCCGTTCCTGGCCTTACCTTCTTGCCATATCTTGCCTTTGTGTGTAGCCAGAAAGCACGGTTGAGCATATAACCATCATATCATATACCTTTAGGATCCTTTAGGTCTGTTCTCTTAATTTTTTGTAGAACGGGAGGGAAGGGCTTTCTATCACAGATGAAGCTACGGCACGTGGCTCATATTAGCTCATCACAAGCATAACAGCAGAGAATTGGAGAAACACTTTCAAAGTGACTAGTGAGTGCATACATCCGTTTGGGGTTCCCCCACATGAAAAACACCTAGAAACCTACATTTAGACCCACAGTTGATTCAGCAAAAACCACACATGTCATCACCGGTCACCAGCGGCAAGCACCTCCCAGGCACCGGCACAGAATTTTTCAGCTAATCTCAGGTGTGTAGCCCCCTCCTGTGGGCATTCTGGGACTTAAGTGCCTCTTTTGCAGCTCACGGCTTACTCGAAGACGCCTTCGAGTTCGGCATTGCGGGCTTGGTGCTTTGGTTCCTTTGCGCCCCGATGTACATAGATTCTTGGACTCAAATGTATCGAGTTGTGCTTTTGGAAGACGTGATTTGATGGTCATTGCCATCACCAAATCTTGAGCCAAGAGATGTTAGTTGAACTGATATGTAAGACATTTGAGACTGTTTACGGCGTGCGCCGCATGTTTTGCCGAGGACTATGGCACTTGGATCATTCGCAGGTACTGCCACCTTGCCTCAACCACCTTCTGGGAATGTTTGAAGAACTTCGAGGTACTGCTTTTGGCCTTGCTGGGATTCAGTTTCATCGCAGGGACCTTCGTCCTATGTCGGCTCATTTGGTCCGAGCAGCGGTATCGTGTGGTACTTTTTGGAGGTGCATGGTGCCTGCTGGCACTGTGTCATTTCGTCTATAGACGTTTTTCATCAAGTCTTAATGACCCTTCCGGCCGAGATTTGACACACTGCGCCTTGCGGATTTGAACGAAAGGAGTGCGGTGCCATGCCCACCTTACAAAGGCTCCTAGATGAGAGATGATGAGACCTGCTTGAGTGAACACGCTTGGGCTGAGTATCACCTACTAGGGCTGAGTATCCAGGATCGAGTCATGACCGCATCATCACGCACCCCTCTCACACACGCCTGGGCACCCTCCGCCGGTCTAGGTGCCTCTTTACCCATGGCGACGTCAAACTGAAATGACCAACCAATCGCACAAAATGCATCCTTCCACGGAGCTTCACAAGGCTGAAGGAAGTAGTTATATTTCATATCATATTTCATATTTCATATTTCAGTTTATTATTCAGATTCTTTGGTTGTTCGGATTTTGGAGGCCTCCGGGCTCAATCCGAGCCACGCAACGCTTCTGACAATCCGTTTGGGGTGCCGTTTTGGCGGGCTTTCCTCTCCGGGAAGGTGTGCAACATCATGTTCCTCTTCCAGAGTTGGTTGAATCTTACGGACGAACACTGGAATCGCCACCGGGATCGCTTCTCGAACTGGTCGACTTGAATCAACATACACAGATTTTTGTTGCTGTCTAGAAATCTATAGAATTAAGAGATGGAGTCCAGCTGAGTTCCTTACTCAGGACCTCACGAAATAAATCTACATTTCCAGTGGTTGCCTGTCGTCGCAAGTCTTAACTATAAGGACTATAAGTCTTTCTCCTTCAAGGCAAGGCATTCCAACCCTCCTGAGCCGCGTGCCGGGTGCCTCCATGACCGACGCCTTGAGGCTCGTGCCCAGAGCCATCACACCACCGAGACCTTGGCCAGCTGCTGCCAGGACGTGTCGGACGTTCTGTTCGGGTGCTGAGAGGACCATCTTCGGTCCTGCAACCACAAGTAAATAACACATGGTCTCTTTTGGGATGCTGGTTGAGCTGTTGTTTGATGAGCTTGTTGCGCATTCGAATGACGCACGGTCACAGCTCGAGCTCCGATGACCCCCCCAAACCGCATGTACTGCGGTTTTTGGGTAACGGTAGGGCTCCGATGAGTCACGAGAAAGAAGATGCCTCATTCAGCAGTATAGCTAATCCCGGTCCCGGGCTCCTGGCCCACCTCCGTTTCGGTTCGATGGGATGCTTGGGGTGGGTGCCAGGGCGGTCGAATACCACCGGTCACCTGAGGATATGGGCCGTTCGGAGCCCTAGGGATTCTTGACCCTGCCGGTGAACTTGCCCCAGCCTCTTTCCAGTTCCACTTGACTTGAGTAATTTCAAGCTCGTTTGTTGACTGTGGACGTTTGACATGGATGTTGCCGGCCTTAGCACACGAACTCGTCCGGCGATCCATGTCTTAAGAAGATGACGTCAGTCAGTGGCCGCAAAGGTGAGACAAGATCATGGACTCCAGGTGCTGGACATCCTCATTTGAATACTTGAATCATCTTGAATCTAATCCGTTTGAGAGGGGTCAAGCCATCAACTGCGGGTAGCTTGTATACCTGTTTGTCCCATAGACCCTCATGTTCCCCCGGTGCTGGCTCCAGGAGCTGGACATGCGACCAGAGACCATGTCGGCCTTCCAGGCGAGCTGTTCCACGAGCGGAGGACCAGCTGGTAGAGAGGATGGACAGGCCGCCTCTCCTCGGGTTGAGAGGCGGCCTGTTCGAAAGTATCTACCAGGACCCTCCTGTCGGGGTGTCTATTAATTTATAGCCCCTTAGCTGTGATTCGGGGTGTCCATTAACCACCCCGACTGAGGGTCCTGGTATTGGCTTAGCTGATGAATGGCCTGTAAGAAGTATGGAAGATGTCCGCTTCTTTGTCCAAAAGATGGTTTGTTGACCCGTTTCATCTTGGTTCCTTGAACAGCGTCGCAGCGTATCGGTTCCTGATCCGTGCCGTGTTCCCCGAAAACAGATCCTGAAGGTTTCTTGACTCCCAGAGTCTGGAAAGATATACCAGCACCCTTCCAACAGGTCTCCGAAATGGAGGGTTGAGAAAGGCCCTCTCTCAGGTTTCAATTGGTGACCTGTGAAGTCAGTCGGTGCTGGTAGAAGAGTTCGAGAGCCCAGCTGGGCCCAGCTTGTATGGGAACGACCGTTCCTTAGAATGGGACTCCCAACCCAAAGAACTGGGTTTCGAAGGGATTTGATGGGAGAAATGCGACCAAACCACTAGCTGAAGCTTAAGCTCTGAGCAGAGGAACTGAGGCCTGGCCGGAGACCTGTAGGTTCCTCAAACGACCAGCCCGGCCCTATGTGTATGCTGCGCTGGTGGAAACGTGTATATGCGGGCAAGAGCGCTTGCGCAGGCGTATGCTCGCGCCGTTGAGGCGGATGATCTGGAGAGTTTATTTTTCTTTTCGGGGGGGCCCTTCAGACAAAATCGGTTCTCCAATGCACGCCAGGTGGGCCTTGTAAACAAGTATACGTATCGAGATGGTTGAGGAGATACAGTATACGTGTTTGTTGTTTCAGGTCCAGGTATAAATCAAAAGATAGGTTTTGTGATGTTGTGCTTGGCATTGTTGAGTACACGGCTCTATTGTATGGGGCTAAGTGGTTCTTGCTTTTAGGTTGTTGCCGCCCGGGTCTAGGTCCTATTATGGGTTGCAAGGATGATCACATTGGCCTGAGCAGAGCATGAGAGGTATAGACAGGGTGTGAAGTTTGAAGGCTTGATTTTCTGCGGAACGCTGATGCTTCGTCTGTAGGGCGAAACCCTGGACTCCTGGTGCAAGTATCTCCCCCGACCCGGTCGTACCAAAGATCAGCCGGTCGGTTGTTCCGCAGAATGCTTCCAAATACATCCAAATACCAACGTTGCATTTTGCCAATGCTTTGTTTGCCGGATGTACCGAGTCCAAGTACCGTCTTGCAAGATTCTCAAGCCTCCCCCTTTCCCACGAATCATGGACCCAGATGACCCGACTTGCAGACAGATCAATCTCCCGATTTGCGGATCTCCAGTGGGTTGGGGGAGCGACTCCTCCTCGGAATCCAGGTTCAGAAGGTCCTTGGGTTCGGGGAAGAGGTCGTAGAACAAGGCAAGAGGTCGTCGACCTTCTGGGATCATTTTGCTTGACCATGTTTTGCTTGGCACCATTTTCTTGAGGTGGGAGAGGCACCAACTTCCCTCACACTCACTCCTCTCTGTTTTCGGGAGGAAGGAGGGCCGAGGGCAAGGTCGCGGTTCCTGGGCCAAGTCGGATCCTGCTGGGGACCCCAACACGATTCCGCTCAGATGGTGGATGCAGAAGAGCCCTCCTTGGAGGCAGAAAACCCGAAAAAATCGTCGATGCCCGGCAATTGGAGGGGATCCACACACACCGCCAAGCTGCTTTAGTATAGATGCCTCGTGTCCATGGGTGACTGCACAAGTCACTTGGAACATATATGCACATGTTCCCGACCCTACTACTGCCTTGGTTGGCTGGTTGTGGTCCAAAGAAGCTGAATGTATGTTTTCAGACGCTAGTACCCCTCAGAATTTGGAGAATGTATTTTAAAACGACATCCAATAAGCACAAAGCGCAAGAAACCTGAATGTCATAATGTTTTCCCCTTGTATACACCAAAGAAAAGCAACTGACAGCAAGTACCGGCTAGCACTCCAGGAACTTTTGTCCAATCTTCACGGATAGTTTGCGTACATCATACGATATCATAATACGTTTCGTCTTGCACGAGATATCTTCGCAGGTTCAGTGCCGTTTCACATGCCGTCTCACGGCCCCACACGCAGTTTCAGTCGTTTCCCTTCATGCGGAGGCCACGGTCCAAGAGCTGCAGAACGCGCATCGCCTGATGCGTCGGTTGCTCGACGGCAGGATCGCTCGGGCACGTGCCTCGGGGTTCGGCGCCGGGACATGGGGGCGTTCAACCACTGATCCCAGGCCCCAAGGATGTCCAGCAGGTGTCACGAGGTGCCTGTCATCATCATCAACCATGATTTTCGGTGCTGGGATGCGCTCACACATTCGGAACCGAGGCATGGTGTGCGGCTGTGGTGTGGGATCCCAGGGATGGCAGGTGCTTCGCAGGTGCGATGCTCCATGCTTCATCCAGTTGTCTCATGTTGTCTAGCTGCTGAGTATTTTGGTTGTCCATGTTTATGCCAAAAGTTTACATGCGAGACTAGCAGAAGATAACATCTGGATCGCAACATGCTGTGCCAAAAGTCATCGAAAGTCATCCCACTATATGGCGTGGAGCCCCCCGTTTTCCTCGGCTCCTCGCTTTGCAATTGGTCTCGCGTCAGTGCTTTCCCCTTCGATCTTGGAGTCCGATTTCCTGCCTCGATCAGGTCGGAGGATCAGCTCTTGCTGGAGCGCCTGCTGGCGCAACTGTGTGGGGCCCCAGCAATGAGAGTACTGGCACCGCAGTGCCGCAGAACACGTTGAGATGTGGAGGAGAACGTGTGAGAACAGGCAGAGACGGAAGCAAGAGACCCCCAACAAACACAGGATGTATCTCAGTGGGTCGTGATCGGATGGATACTTATACTTCTTCTTTTTCTCTGGAATCTTCGATGGAAGTGGGAAAAACATTATAAAGGTACACTCCCGAGTCAACTCACATAGACCCGGGTCCGTCCTGGTCCGATGGAAGACGATTTTCCTCTACCAACCCAGGGGAGAAGAGGTTCCATGTGGACCTCTTCCAGGGTGTAAAAACGTCATCCCTGCGGGGGCATGCCATCCTTTGATGATTCATCGGCGGAGCGGCGGAGTTTTCAGAAGCCAAACAAAGAAGCAACAAGACGCGCGGGGAGAGGGAATTCAGGTGTGTGTTGCGCGTTTTTTTCCCGGTGAGGTCAGACTGGAGCAAAAACAGAGAAAAGAAACA